ACTTGGATCTCCATCAATTGCTTGATGGGTTGGGACCATGTGACCTCCTCTTGAACCCTGGGGTCAATGTCTTCAGCGGCGTTTTGATAGACCATCCTGGCCTCCTATCGCCTTGGCTGGTCGTATCCACGCAGGGCATCAGAGTATGCAACCCTAGCTTCGTACTGGTTGCTCTTCATCTCACCTATGCCATTTGGGGTAGGGAACTTGACCTTTTGGTGGTAGACGGAGGTTATTGCCTTTAGCGCCTAAAGGGTTGGTCTCCCGATAATGGCATTGTACTGAGAACCTCCTTTTATTACCATAAAGTTTGCCATTGTCGTGGTCTGTCGGGGTTTTTCTCTAGCGGTTATGGGCAACCGGATAGTCCCCTGAGGGATGACGGAGTCCCCGGTGAAACCGTATAATGGCCTGGAGGTTTTCTCCAACTGCTCTTTTCGGATCCCCATCTTTTCCAAGTAGTCAGAGTACAGGAGGTCTACTGAACTCCCATTGTCTACCAAGATTCGGCATACAGTGTGGTTCCCAATCATGGCTTCCACTACTAACGCGTCGTTGTGGGGGAAGTGAACTCCGATGGCGTCATCCTCATTAAACGCCACGTCGGCACTACTATACATTGGGGTTTTTACAACGGAGACACTCCAGAATCTTTCCTGGTAAACCCCTCTGGCCTCGTGGGCATAGTCCTTCTGAGATCTCCTTGAGTCTCCTCCTATATAGGGGCCGCCGAGAACAGTTCGTATGACGCCGACAGGTTCTCAGTCCTCTGGACGTTGGTTCTCCTCTCGACGTCGATCGTCATTCTGCCCACCGTGGCCATCGTTTCGAGGTCTCCGCTTAGCTTTGAACTCCTGTAGCGTCCCCTCACGGATTACTCTCTCGATTTCATCCTTGAGGTCGGCGCAATCGTTGGTGTGGTGGCCGACATCGCCGTGAAACCTGCAGAATTTCTTATGGTTCCTTCGGCTGGGATCTGTCCTCATTGGCTCTGGGCGGCACAGTAGATTTCCACGGCTGACCTGATTGAAGACCTCCTCGACTCCTACTGTTAGTTCGTGGTAGGAATCGTACCTTTAAAACAGTCGAGCCTCACGGTTTTCCTCTTGCCTTGGCTTTTTGGCTTCCGGAGCGCTCAACGGCTGCTTGTCTCTGCTTCCTCTACCTCGACGCGTCTTCTCATCCTGCTTTGCTGGCGTCGACCCTTGTTCGGTCCCTTTGTTCTTGTTGGACCTGTGCTCGGGGTCGTTTGCGTCTGCCTCCTCGGCGTTGATGAATCCTTGCGCTAGCGCAAGAAATTCCTTGTAGCTGGACGGGGGCTTTCAGTTCAGCTCTCTCTTGAAGGGGGTAATTTTCTTCATACTAGATAATGCCCCCATCAAAGCCTCTATGTCAGTTATATCCATCGTGGCGGCGACAGCTTCCCCATATCTTGCAAGTCATTCTCTCAATGACTCGTTCAGCTTCTGGTATATCGTTGTCAGGTTCTGCTTTAGGGGGACATATTTTTAACCCCTATGAATTGGAGGGAAAATGCTTCCTTTAACTCATCCCAGCTTGAGATAGAATTTGGCCTCAGCATTCGAAACCATCTTCGGGCAAAATCTGTTAAATGGTTCCGGAAGGCTCGGCACATAATTTCCTCGGCATACCCGTATAAGAGCATGTGCCCCGTGTACATCTCTAAATGATCGTCGGGATCCCCTCGACCATCATATGGTGGGATCGACGGCGACCTGTATTTGTCAAGGAGAGGTGGCGCCATTATCTCTTCGGTAAACGGGTGGTCATGTGTGCGGCTAGGTGTGATGTCGACGTTTACCACCTCAGCCACTCGCCCTATGTTCTTTTTCAAGTCTGCTACGTCCCCTGTGAGTTTTTACTCCAGGCTGGCCATACGTTCCATGATGGCGCGTGCTTCCTCTGTTGAGATGGCCGAGCCAGCTACTCTCGACGCCTCTGCCCTTTGACCGTTGGGTCCGCCTCTTGCCTGCCCGCCCGCCTGTACTGACCCTGAGTCTCCCGGTGGGTTTCTTACCTCGGGGTTTCCCAGGCCTCTTGGTATCTGGTCCTCGGGAGCCCGGAGTCCGGAGGCCCTTAAACGGCTGTCGGAGGATTGGGAAGGTCGGGGCCTAGGCTGGCCCCTATGATTCTCACTATCCCCAATTTCTTCTAAGATATGTGGGCGGTCACCGGGGTTGGGGTTTTCAGCCATGGCAGGTCCCAGCGGCTCGGGGCGTCTTCTAAAGGTGGCATAAAGTTTCTTCCATCCAAGCGTTCGACCACGGTCATTAGTCCACATACCAGATCGGTTAGAGTGGCTAGTTGGGCCTGCATCTGCACAGGATCCGACCGCGGCACGTCTGGGGGCGGGACTTCGTTTCTGACCAAGGGTAGACCCTCCTCCATCCCGTCATTCACTGGATGAGTGGCGGTCTCGTCCATCTGGCTGCCTTGGTTGATGGCCTCAATTCTTCTTCTTAGAGGCATGCTTGCTGACTATGTTGTTATTGGGGGTCAAACGCGTTTGGTCCCCAGTAGAGTCGCCAATTGTTGACGGTGAATTTTTGTCAACAAAAACAGGCCAGGTTACCGCTAGGTTTCCCGTTGGATTACCGGCTTTAATATAGATTATATGTAAGAGTTTTGTGCCGAAGGTGGTTGATGTTTTTAGAGGGATGAGCAATTTGAAAGGATAATAATCTAAAGTAAAGGAACACAAAGAGATTTATAGTGGTTCACTCTATAAAATTAAAGCTACATCCACTGTGGTTGTATATTCTTTTTGAGGTGGTTACAATTTACATCAATTGCTCTCTTGCTCTTTTTTCTCTCTTTTGGACGTGGACCTCCTTTCTGTATGGGGCTTTGCCTCTTTTATATTGGAGCTTCCTTTGCTGTGGGGGTTTCCTTCGTAGGCAGAAGCACTCAGGGTTTCCTTCGTAGGCAAAAGCACTCAAGTGCTTTTCCTTTTTAGGTCCAAACGTAGCCCACTAATCACTTGAAGTACTGCTCACTCAGCCAATTAGTCTCCTATTACGGCTCTGTGCGTCCCTGTAACCCTTTTCTGTCCCCCGTGGGGCGGTTTAAGGGTTGGCAATTAATGCCTGCATTGCAGACATCCCCATTACTGTACGCAACTTGCCATGTCAGGCTTTCCCCCAAGGAGCATTCCCCTCGTCGCCAGTGTTGTTTAGCCCAATTGTCCTTCTTGGCGGTCGACTCTATGACGAGGGACTTTTATGTTGTAAGGTCGACGGTACGATCTGTCGACGTCAAATGAAATCGATGCCCTAAGTTGGACTTCTTACTTGGGCTCTTCGCAACGTAATGGAAGGGAGCCCCAGACGTCGAGGGTTGTTGCTTTGCAAGGAGAAGTTAAGGCCACGTGTCATACTGTCATTCTTCCACGCATCCTCCACATTTTCCCCTACAACAAGAACTATGAATTATGATTTAGAATCAGGGATGAATACATGAAACAAACCGGCATTTTACTCTCTTTTTTTTCTTTCTAAACCCATTCTTTACCTTCGCCCCGCCTTCTATCCTCTGCTTTTCTTTCTCCTTTCTTTATTTTTAGTGACTTTTACACCAATATTTCTCTATGTTTTCTCTTTTTGTATCTCTTTTATTTTCTTTTTATTTTAACTTTATCACTCTCTCATGGAGTCTTTGAAACCTCAAATTTTAACTTTCTCATCGCAATAACCTATTTGCTTGTGATAAATTTTGAATTCTATTTCAATTCGGCTCTTTCATTCATTTCATGATTAAATAGTTAAACTGTACATTTCATCAATCTCAGATTAGTTAAACCTATAAAAGTAAAGATAAACGAGTCAAAATAAAACAAATACATATCTTCATAAATTATTTGTGTAAATAACCTTTTTCTTTTTGAATTTATAGATAAAATTTTTCTTATATTTATCCTTTCTATTCATATATGCATTTATAATCTATTCATAAATTCATATCTATATTGTAAAAAACTTCAATTACAATTTAATATGTCTATGTACCTCAACTATATATATATATAAAATAAAACAAATACATATCTTCATAAATTATTTGTGTAAATAACCTTATATAAAAGAGTGGATATGTAGTCGCTATATATTTCATGATAATCTAAAACTGAAAACGATGATTTTAGATTACTTTTTTTTTCTTTTTCTTTTTAAGTTTCAAATATCTTTACTTTTTTTTATTTTGTTATGTGTGGTTATGTTTTACTCCTTGTCGACTTTTTAATTTTTTTTAATTTGGTTATCTTATAATTTATAATGTCTCATATGTATTTCTACGGCCTTAAATTACTGTTAATATACTATGTTCTAATTTTTAAGTAGATTTTTTTCTACATATGATTGTCTGTTTTTTACATGATAAAATTTTTAATCAAAACTCAATACGTGCATCCAACGTTCCTAATAAGTAATTATATTACATGGCAAAATTTCATACTAAAGGTTAATTTTGACAAATACTCCTTAAAATCATACTATTAAGGATTTTTAGGTCTCAACATTGGCCTATTGAATTTTATCTTTTTAGAGTAAGTAATTTGATATATTATTATCGATAATTTGATAGATGTCGTCGGTGGCAGGTCTCCGGTCACCGGTGGCGGGTGTAATTTAACAGATTAAAATTTGATAAATTATTATCAATAATTTGATAGATTATTATCAAAAGGATAACCTGTCACAACAAAAACATAAAACTCTAGAAAGATGTATTTAAGGGTCAATTTTAACAAAAACTTTAAAATATTATAAATATAATAAAAATGACATAATAATTATCATAATAATGTAACATACTATATAATGATAATAATAATTATTTTAATGACATAAAAATAATATACAATTTTATTATTTTTGTAATATTTCAAAATTTTACTAAATTTAAACTTTCATATCAAAATTTGGACATATGTAAATCACCCACGTTTGTAAGAAAAAGGCGCAAAAATGAAAGCCCAACCACACATGAAACCTTAAAACCCAAACCCCAAAACCCTCTCTACGTACTCTACTCGAACTCGAAGATTCTTTCCCTCTCCTCTGCGAACACCTTTCGATTATGAAGCCTTTTGGCGCAAATCAATGGCGCAGGTTCGGCATTTCTAGGGTTTTCAGTTCCCTCTTCTACTCCACAACTAGGGCTCCTAAAGGCGACACTCTGTTCCAGAGGATTTCTCGGTGTGGAGATCCAAAGATCTCCTTGATCCCAGTTTTGAATCACTGGGCTGAACAAGGTAGAGACGTCAACCAACCTGAACTTCAAAGGATCATCAAGCAGCTTCGTAAATACCGTCGTTTCTCGCATGCTCTCCAGGTAAAATATTTACCCACAATTTCTTTTGTTCTTTCTTCTTTTATTTATTTATTTATTTTAAATATATTCTTTTTTGGGGGCAATGCAATGAAGACGGTTAGTTGAAATTAACCTTTGTGATTATGTTGAATTTGTGCTTTCCCAGATTTCAAATTACCAGAAATGTTGTTTCGTGCTGATTGGTAGAAAAAATTATAAATTGAAAAAGTGAGCTTTATAGTGAATTACTTGCATGTATCTGATATTATTATGGTTAAATCTTTATTTATTTTCTTATGCATAAGGCTAAATGTAAACAAGTAAACTTTACTCTGTTGTTTCTTGATTAAGCCCCATTTTGCTGAGTAGTGATTTTACATTAGTGATGTTTTAGATGGGGCAGAGTAAGGCTTAGTTTGGTGCGGCCTCTGAGTTCTAGACTCGAGTTCTAGCTCTCAAAACTTATGAGTTCTCCAAAGACCTTTGAATGAGTGAGTTCTTAGTTCTCTTGACCTACTCAAGACCATACAGTAAAGTGCGTTAGTTTTCTCCTTACCAAAATGGAGTTAGAGTCTACCGTATTTATACGAGTGAGTGTAGTGGGCGCATTCTCTTTCTTCTCGTTCCCTTACTATACAAGGGGCTGCTTTCTTTTGGGCAGCTGTTCACCGTTGGAAAGGAAGAAGCAGCTGTTACAAAAAGCAGCTGAGTGTTTAGTAAACTATAATTATAATAACTGTGCTAGTTCTAAAATCAGTGTAATAGCGTTTGGTAAATTTTAATGTTGAATTGCTGTGGGTACGTAAAATGACCAAAATAGACATGGTATGGAACTTAAATATATTAATTATTTTTGGTATTTAGAAATATTTATTTAACTTAAAAAAAACATAATGCTATGATTTTGAGTTTTTTAACAATAAATTTATGATAATTAATTCTTTTTTTTTTATTTCTTCATTCACAATATAATTACAACTAAAAAGATCATTAGTGAGTAATCAATTTGTTGAACAAAAAAGTACATTTCATGTTCAAAAAACTGACAAAATCATTAAAAGAATTAAGTCGTGTTCATTAAACTTGTTGCAATTTAATCTCGTACTTCAACCATTTCTTGTGATAGTAAAGGTTCATCTTGTTCTACATTGTCCTCCAGTTGATGCTCTTCATAAGCGAAAACATCTAGATTATCCTCGATTTCTTGAAAATGTCAATCACGCTTATCATGCATCCTAATATAGTTATGAAGCACCATTGTTGCAATAACTATTTTTACTTGCTTCTTAAATGAATAATTAGGCATGTGTCAATAGTGAATGGCAAATGCAACAACAACACGAAAGAATCATGGATTGTTTTATCTTCCACTATCTTAGAGAACTATTTATAGTGTGATAAGCTCCAGAATCGATTGTCACAGAAAGATGGCAAATTGGAAGAGAATTTGTATTACTGGAATCAAGAATCAACAATGGCCACAGAAAAGAGTAAAGAATGGTATGGGGATTTTCGACAGATCCCGTGCTCTCCTAACAAACTTCCTACGAAGAATAACAAATTGCAATAATACTCTACTAGCCTACCTCTATCTTATTTATACTCCTACCTATATTCCCCTTTACAGACTCCAGCCTAACTAACTTCCCGTCCCTTAACTACTTTGCTGGCCTATTACTTGACCATCTTGCAGACTCAACTTTTCCCCCCTGCCCCTTCTCCTTCGAACATATGTGAGCCGCACAGGAGGCTTATCATTACCCTTGCCCCAAAAACGCACCTTGTCCTCAAGGTGTTGATTATGTAATTGCACTTGAATGATGCCATCTTCTTCCCATTTCAATGCACGTGAACTTTGGAACGTCAAAGGTAGCAGCAACTTTCAAAGAACCCAACTCAGTGCTAATTAACCCAACCACTGAATTGAGAGATAATTCCACCATTTCTTCTTCTTCGGCAGCCTCAATCTTCTCTACCTCTGCTTCACCTTGTTCCTCTTCTTCGCGGACAATCAAGACCTGTAACTCCTGATTCGGACAACGATGGCCAACGTAATATTTCCCATCGCACCGGTAACACAGCCCCTTCTCCCTCTTAGCTTGTAGCTCGGCGTCAGTCATTTGCCTAAATGGTGCTGCTCCCATGACTTGGTTAATCGCCTTCCCTTCATCCAGAATTTTCCCTTTTTCAGTCGGTGCTTCATTAAAACGCATACTACTTCCAGAATTAGTAGTCGTTTGGCCTCCTTTAGTTTCATTAAACCCACTGCCTTTTCCCAAAATTGAATACGGTGGGCCTTGGGCTTTTGGGCCGCATACCATGAGATTACGCTCTTCCACCCTCTGGGCTACTTCCATAATTCGCCCTAGCCAAATAGGTTTCATCAACCTTATCTCTGCCCGTACCTCAGGCTTCAACCTATTAACAAAAGAGCTCTCCAGAACCTGCTCGGAGACATCCCTCAACGGCGCTGCCAAGACCTCGAATTGCCTCCGGAATTCCCTTACCGAAGACTCTTGTCGTAGCGACAACAACTTCTTGCACAAGCTGCCTTCCTGCGTTGGTCAGAAACGCTCGAGAATCATCACCTTCAATTCCGCCCAATTCCGAATCATCCGCCGGCCATCCTCCCATTGAAACCACGCCAAGGCTTCTCCACCGAGACTGACAACTGCAACTTCCAACTTTTCATTCTCCGACAAGCCGTTCATCGTGAAGTACCTTTCAGCCCTAAAGACCCAGCCATCGGGGTTTTCGCCGTCAAACGTTGGCATCTCCACTCGCCTGGTCCAACAGTCCACGCGCGTTCCAGATTCATGCGGATGCCTGGCTCTCTCGCTCGTCTCTTCCCCCGGCGTCGTCTGCCTCGCCCGCGCTTCCACTCCGGCCGTCTGGGAATTCCGCCGTTCTTGGCGCTGTAGATTCATCAATTCCTCCATTCTTGCCAGCAACAAGTCCATACCTTGCTCCAGCCGAGGAATCTTCTTCAATTCCTCTCGCACCTCCTCCAATTCCCTCGCGAACTCCTCTCTCGTTCCCTCCGTCTTCTCCTTCTCGCGATCATCGGTACGTCTCGTCATTCCAGGAAAGTGCTCTGATACCAATTGATAAGCTCCAGAATCGATTGTCACAAAAAGATGGCAAATTGGAAGAGAATTTGTATTACTGGAATCAAGAATCAACAATGGCGACAGAAAAGAGTAAAGAATGGTATGGGGATTTTCGAGAGATCCCGTGCTCTCCTAACAAACTTCCTACGAAGAATAACAAACTGCAATAATACTCTACTAGCCTACCTCTATCTTATTTATACTCCTACCTATATTCCCCTTTACAGACTCCAGCCTAACTAACTTCCCGTCCCTTAACTACTTTGCTGGCCTATTACTTGACCATCTTGCAGACTCAGCTTTTCCCCCCTGGCCCTTCTCCTTCGAACATATGTGAACCGCACAGGAGGCTTATCATAGTGCTGAGAGAGGTTTAATAACAAAAACGAAGCTTTCTCAAGAATGAAAATCAATTACACTCAAATTTTATACTTGGAAGAATTCATGATTACAGAAACAAACATAAAGCTCCTTTTATACTTGGAAGAACTCATGATTACAGAAACGCAACGACAAAAATATGTGCAACCACAGTCAGATCCCCACCCTAGTCCTATTTACAGTTTCAACATCCTTTCACTTCTAAACTCTCGCACTCTCTGTATTCAAGCAACCATCAAACCAAAGAGGAAAAAAATCAGGTAGTCAAACCTTTCCTTTTTTGTATCAACGAAAATAAAGGTGATCGTCGTCTTCAAACTCCGAAACCCCTAACATGGCCAAAGCTAAGTGGCTCTTCATTTCGTTGTTTGTTTGTGGTGATTGAGAGTAACAATCAATAACACATCCATTTCCCAGAAAACTAGACTTCTTCTTTCTACTTGAGAAAACAGGTTGCTCTTCACCTTTTAGGGTTGCAATAATCTCGCCAATTGCTGGCCTGCAAGCTTCTTCACTGGTTACACAGGCCGCGGCTGCTTCGATCATTCGGGCTATCTGATTTGAATTTCTTGAAGTGCATTTGAGCCTTGGATCCAACAACTCTTCGATGGCTCCTTTTCCTTTATGCAAGAGGGGTTTTGCCTGGCAGATGTAAAATTAGAAGACGCTTATTATTGTGTCTGAATTTTTACCAAATGACTGAATGACCAATAAGCATAACAAGCATCACAAACCCGCACATGGGAGGCCCAATTTTTTGAAAAGAAAATCGAAAAAAAAAATTCAGTATGTAAAGTTTCCTATTATAGTTTCCCCTGTTATACAGCTTTTATCTCTGTCTGATCAAACTATTCTCGTCCAGAAAGATAAAAGAATCAAATTGTTGCAAGCCTCACATGAAATTAGGGTCTTTCATTGAGAAACTCAAGTGGCAATTCCCAACATAAATATAACTCAGAATTCACTTGAACTACAATGATCGCAGCCAAGACTTAAGGCTTAAGTTTTCGCCAATTTAGATTGAGTTTCCTGATCTTACAGAGGACCTTTCAACAATGTACAAGTACTTGTGCTAAAACGAGCATAAACTTAATTTTTTTTTTCATTGTTGCTGCCCATGGCTCATTTCATTTTCTGTGGATTTGGGATATTTAGGATATTTACAGAACCCTAAAGTAGAGGAAACACGCTCCCCCTCACTTTCAACATGCCCTCTAAGTAGAGAACCATCAAAACTCTCCTCCAAGATCTTCATCGTGTAATTATCGAATAAAAGTACAAAAAAAAAAAAAAAAAAATAATCCAATCTTACCAAGCCTAGCTTGAACAAGAGATTTTTCACGTACTCATCTCTTGCTTCCACAGAACTTATCTCCGGAAGCTGCAGCTCGGCGGCGAGAGAGAGTGTCTCCCTCACCATAAGCTGCGAGAAAAACAGGTCTTCTTGTCTCACATATGCAAACCTGCCATTACACAACACAAAAATCATCAACCAGAAAATCTCAAACCCAATTTTAACCGAAATTTAATTTCCAAACAAAGCTTACTTATAAGCTTTGTTCGAACTAGGCTTTCCATTGACCTCCAACAACCCCGACAAATGCAATCGTGGTGAAGCCGTTAGCTGACCTGCCAGTACGTTTAGCAGCATCGTCTTCCCCGACCCCGACGGCCCTATAATCGCCAGCAGTCTCCCCGGCTTCTCCTCTCCTCCCACGTTTTTGAGAAAAAATTGCACCTCGGGATTAACAAACATGACAAAATCAGCATCCAAAACCCTACATTTTCTTTTTCAAAGCAGCCAAATAGGTGAGGGAAAACAGAAAGAAAAATAGAAATTGAAATTAGAGAGTTACTGATACCGGCAAACCGAACCCTCAACAATGCTCAACTGTTTTTTTGCAAAAATCAGAAACCTAAAACCCAAAATATTCAAACTAAAAATCAGACCCAAAAATCCAAATGTTCAAACTAAAAATCGCGCGGTTAGAGAGGCTTACCTCTTGATCGGATGACGAGAGACTGGCAGTTGGAGGAGGAGAAGGGAGACCGGCAACGGAGAGATCAATCGGGCAGAGGAGAAACCAAACGAGCTCCGAACCGCCAACGGAGAGATCAACCGGCGAACGGAGAGAGAGGCCAGTGAACGGAGCCGGGGAACCTTGCTTCGAAGGGCGAGGAGAGGAGAGAAACACAGAAAAAATTTTCGCTGAGGAGGAGATGAGGAAGATACGAGTGGAAGAGAGAGTGGAGGAGAGTGGATTCTTCTCAAATGAAAATGGGTTGTAAATTTTAGATTTCAGTGGGGGTAAAATTGGAAATAAAAAATTTCATTAAACACTCAAAATAGATTCCTGCATAAGCTGAAATCAGAATCAGCCCAAAGGCTGATTCTGCTTTAGCTTTAGATTGGGGAAAAATTCTTTAAAAATCTGTTTTACCAAACAAGATTTTAGATTTTAGATTCTCATATAAGTGCTTTTTCTCTCCTAAAACAATACCAAACCCACCCTAAGACTATTGTAGTGAATAGAATAGTGATTTTCTCTTATACATAAGCATTAATGCTAGTTTTAGTTTGGGGCAGCATAGACTGTTTTTATCACTTAAAAGTTAAAGCTCAAGATACTGTTTTGCTGTCGTTATGTCTGCAAGGCTGCTGAACTAACCTTTTTTTTTTTTTTTTGGGGAGTCTGTTTATTATTTATATTTTGAGTTTTTTCCTTTTTTTACTTCATTAATTTGTGGTGTGCGTCTTTCCTTGGAGGTCTTATGTTGTATGCTTAAGTGCTTCAGCTTATTTATCATCAGTTTCTGTTCCATAACATATCAAATCTCTTTCATATTTTACTCTGGGGCGTACGTTTCTGGGGTTTTTTTTTTTTTTTTTTTTTTTTTTTTTTTTTTTGGGGCTTTTTTTTTTTTTTTTGGGTTTTTTTTTTTTTTTTTTTTTTTTTTTGTCTGGAGCATTTCTATTATTATTTGTTGAAATTTTATTTCCTCATTTGTGATTGTCGATTTTTCTGTGGTCATATGTTTAGGTTGCAAGTTTTTCGTACATGGTAAATTGACTATCTACTCATCTTGATTTGCTAATTATATGAGATTGTTAACTCAAAGTTGCAAATGGTGGATGGTGTGATTTGTCAGATTTCAGAGTGGATGAGCGAAGGAATGAACTGTGACCTTTCTCCAGGCGACGTAGCAGTTAAGTTGGATTTGGTCTCAAAAGTTCATGGCTTAGACCAAGCAGAGGAGTATTTTAATAGCATCCCACCCGCTTTGAGAGCCGACAAAATTTACGGTGCTCTTTTAAATTGCTATGCTGAGAAAAAATACTTAGAAAAAGCTGAGCGCCTTTTTCAGAAGATGAGGAAATTAGGTTTCATCAAATCTAATTTGTCTTATAATGTGATGCTAAGCCTCTATTCTCGAATGGGAAAACATGAGAAATTAAAGGGTTTACTCCAAGAGATGGAAGAGAATGGCATCAAGCATGACAAATACACGTTTAGTATTCGGTTGAATGCATATGCAGTTACCTCTGACATAGAGGGAATGGAGAAGCTTTTAATGGAGATGGAAGCTGATCCTCAAGTGAATCTGGACTTTCATGCTTATTTTGTTGCTGCAAAAGGATACTTGAAAGCTGGTCTTTATGAGAAGGCAATAATCATGCTTAGGCGATCGGAGCAACAGATTATCAACAGTAGAGGAAAGAGGATTCATTATGAGCATCTCCTCACACTATATGCTGCGGCAGGTCAAAAGAATGAAGTTTATCGTATTTGGAATCTGTACAAAAACATGGAAAAACTCTACAACTCTGGCTATCTTTCTGTGTTAAGTGCACTTGTGAAGCTTGAGGATATTGATGGTGCAGAGAAGATCTATGCTGAATGGGAATCTTGGAACACATGCTTTGATAATCGGATTGCAAACTTGCTGATAAGTGCTTATTGCAAGAATGGTCTTTTGGAAAAGGCTTTGCTGTGTGTAGAACGGCTTATAAATAATGGACATGAGCCAGCTGCCAGCATATGGCAATGTCTGGCAAATCAATGTTGCATAGATGGTCGGATGGCGAAGGCAGTTGAAACCATGAAGAAAGCTGTATTGGCCAATGAACCAAAATTGAAGCTCAACCGTTCTACTTTGGCTGTATGTCTTGAATACTTGAAAAGGGAGGGAGACGTCGAAACTGCGCATGAGATTCTAGGATTACTTAGAGAACAGAATTCTTTGTCGAATGATATCTGCGATAGATTGGTAAATTTTATAAACAGTAATGAAGATATTGGTGCCCTTGGTGCAATGGAAGAGGATGATCAGATTCAGAAGGTAGAGGAGGATCATGATATGGATGGAAAGATGAATGTGTAATATGTAGCTCAAGAACGAGGCAAGAGAGTGATCTTCTGCGATGCTATTAAAGAAGATATTCAATTCAATCACCAACGGGTTTCCAATATGCCTTTTTGCTTCCTGCTTTGTGTAATGAACCATTTCAATGATCCCAAACCAAAGAATAAAAATAAAAATAAAAGGAGGAAGGAAAACAGCAGTCATCTCAATACTCACAAAATTTCAGTTGGCTTATGTTCTTGCCCCTTAAAATTATCGTGCTCCTTAAAATTATCTTGCTTTTTTGTCTGGCTGCATCTCAGTCAGAACTGTTTTATACACTTAAACTTGATTTATTGAGAAGGACAAACAAAGAAAAATATGCTTAAGAAAAACTACATATCGTCATTGTTGGTCCAGTCTCGGTTTGTTTAAGTGTCCAGATTGGATCAGAAGTCTTTAGTCTGACCTAAAAGGAGAATTTTTATGGAAAAAGAGAGATTTTAACTAGAACGTGTAAAGATAAATTTTGTACACATGTATTTGTAATTACAACAAAATTTATTGGATATGCCACGTGCGTGATTTTTTTTTTTTTGTATAATTTGAAATTGAGTCGATTATAGTACGCGGCTTAAATTCAGTTATCCTACCTGAATTGTCCAAAAAAAAAAAAAAAAAAAAAAAAAGGTTAATGATCTATTAATCATACTTTTGCTAAAAAAAAAATCATACTTTTGTAAGTGGACGTTTGGTTCATATATTTAAAATCATAATTTAAAATTATTTTCAGTTTATATATATTTTTTATGAGAAAAAATACTGTAGTAAACTACGAATTATAATTCGAATCATGATGCGAATCTAATAACCAAACAACCCATAATATATAATATATTGGGATCACATGTGAAACAAAAACAATCTAACTCATGCTTCCGTCAGCTGCCATCATTGGAGTTCAAAGTCGCAGGTTGATAAAATTTGATCCATTTATCTCTTAGCTTTCCTGAGATCCTTTTTTAAGACGTAAAATGCTCAAAATGTCCATCTAATTAATTTATCAAAAACATTTTGCTCATAATTAAGATTTACAAAACATTTTAAAAATATTCTCAACAGTAAAACTTAACATTCGTAAAACTTGATTCTGAACAAAACTTTTAGACATTTTTTATATCCTAAAAATGATGTCAGGTTACTTAAAGATGTTTTTTTTTTTTTTTTAAATAAAAAGTACTGATTTAATATTATAAAAAATATAAAGTATCTTTAAGATGTTTTAATATCACAGAGGATACAAAAATAATTTTATCTCTTTCTCAAGGGACACAATCATTTTTATCTTATCTACTATATCGAAATCTCAAAAGTATCCTGACTTTTTTTTTATAAGATTAAAAAGGTACTTTCATGTTTAAAAAAATAATATTTTTTTCGTACCTCACTTTTTTTTGACATAAAATGTCTTATATACTCTTTTAATAAATTTACTTCAGAATTAAGTTTAAATAGAAATTATTTGTTGAATATGTTGAAATTGTTTATTTTTTAGATTTATGTTTATTTTTATAATTTTTTAATGCTTTCATATAATTTATTAAAAAAATGTAAAATTTAACTCTAGAGAAAAATTAATTAAAAAGGGTATAAATCTAAGGGGATCAAAAATATTTTTTTAAAAACATGAACGTACTATTTTAAGAGCCCGTTTACTTCGCTGATTTAAGTTTGTAATTTAAGTTGAGATGTGATTTTATATGAGAGTTTTTTATTGTAATAAAAAAGTTTAATGTGACTGTTTTTGAGAACTTTTTATTATAGTAAAACTCAAATTCTAAACTCAAATCAGCGAAATAAACGAGATTAAAGATACCGTACTGATTTTTTGCGTATCAATATGAACTTTGAAGACCGTTTGATACGCAAAATAAAGAAGCTCACAATTAGATAAGTGTACCCATCCAAACACCAAACTTTTAAATACAAAAAAAAAAAAATGAAAATTGCATAAATTTTTTTTGATGAAGGCGACCTCCAATATCTGAAAATGTTCATATCGCGATATTTTAAGGGTCCGTTTATTTCGCTGATTTAAGTTTATAATTTGAGTTGAGATGTGATTTTATGTGAAAGTTTTTTATTGTAATGACTGTTTTTGAGAGCTTTTTACTGTAACAAAACTTAAATTCTAAACTCAAATCAGTAAAATAAACGGAGTTAAAAATACCATACTGACTTTTTGCGTATCAATATGAACTTTGAAGACCGTTTGATACGCAAAATAAAGAAGCTCACAATTAGATAAGTGTACCCATCCAAACACCAAACTTTTAAATACAAAAAAAAATGAAAATTGCATAAATTTTGTTTGATGAAGGCGACCTCCAATATCTGAAAATGTTCATATCGCGACGCACCTTTGTGAGGAGTGGGTTGGGGTCCCTACCAGTGAACCCAGATCGCGCTGGCTCACGGCCCACCCTTCGGTCGCATTTGTCATGAATCCGGTTTCTATTCGTCACCCTTGATGCGTAGAAATCACGCGTCGGAGGAGCTCGAGAAGCTCATTGCAGAGGAAAAGAAGATTTGGTGGCGGAAGAGAATAAAATCACGTGGTGGAGGAAAAGGAAATCGTGTAGAAGTTTGTTTCTTTTCTTTTTTTTTTTTTAAGTAGTTTCATTATTTTTCTTGTAATTAAGGAAGGTTTTATCCAGTATGAGCTATTCTAAATTTGTTTCCATGAGAATGCAATCTTAGACCATACATTTTGAATTAGATGGTTCATACTTCATATGATTGGCAATATCAATAGTGTATATGGAGTTTATCAATACGTCTATGGAGGTGACAGTACCGTAGTCACCTCCACTGTTTTCATATTATTAAAAATACGCGATATCTTTGACTGTTTTAATATAAGAGAGGTTATCAAAATAATTTTATAAAAAAAAAAAAAAAAAAACTCACGGCAAAAAATATAAGGTTTTAGTACATTTGTCTACTTACCGTGGTTTAACAGATTATTTCTCAAATTTTTTATTTTAATAAATTACTTTGTGAATTTATAAATTTATTGTAATATATTTTATTTTAACGATAATTATATTAAATTAATGTAAAAAAATATATTCAACTAAAAATTTTAACATTTTAAATTAAATGTAACATAAATCTTTTAATATCTTAACTTTTAATCATTTTAACTTAATAAAAATTTTGAACAAATTAAGTTAAATAGAGTACATCACAATAAATTTACAAATTTAAAAGTAATTTGTTAAAATTAAAAATTTAAGGAGATAATTTAGATCTTGTTCATTTCACAAATTTAAATTTTTAATTCGAACTGAGATGTTATATTTTTTTAATAATAAATTGCTTTGTGAATTTATAAATTTATTGTAATATATTTTATTTTAATGATAATTATATTAAATTAATGTAAAAAAATATATTCAACTAAAAATTTTAACATTTTAATTTAAATGTAACATAAATCTTTTAATATCTTAACTTTTAATCATTTTAACCTAATAAAAATTTTGAACAAATTAAGTTAAATAGAGTACATCACAATAAATTTACAAATTTAAAAGTAATTTGTTAAAATTAAAAATTTAAGGAGATAATTTAGATCTTGTTCATTTCATAAATTTAAATTTTTAATTCGAACTGAGATGTTATATTTTTTTAAAATTTTTTATTATAATAAAAAAAATTAAATATGATATTTTTTAAAAAAATTTTATTATAAAAATTTAAAATTCAAAATTCAAAAATAAACGAGTCCTTACTTTTAAGTGCGACAAGTTTCAGGGTTAACTGTGTCAAACCCAAAACTATATGGTGAGATATAATTGAAAGGTCATATGGTGGTAAAGGCAATTGTTGCCTCCTTAACCAGTATTTCTGAAACACTGTTGGAGTAGTGAGCCGAATGGCAGTGAAGCTTCATTGCTCGACCAAGCTCGCCGCGTTTGGGTTTCTGAAGAACCTTCAAAAATGCTCTCTACTTTCAATTTCCCTCCTCTCCACTAGAACCCTAAGCTCTTCTTCTTCAAATTCTTCTTCAAATTCTTCAGATTCTCTGTTCCAGCGCATTCAAGTCATCCGAGACCCAAAGGCCTCGGTTCTTCCAGTGCTCCGACAATGGGTCGATGAAGGAAGACCCATTGGCAAGACTGAACTTGGCTGGCTTGTGCGTACCATGAAGGACTTCAGACGCTTTAATCACGCTCTTGAGGTTCCAATTTCTCTTCTTCTCTTTTCAATCTCTTTCTTTTTCTTTTCTTTCCTCCCCCCTCCCTCATGATGTTGAATAATCTTCAATTTATTTTACTTTATTTTGCTTTCTTTAACCAGTCGGGCACTGTCTTTCTTTTTCTTTTGTTTTTTTAATTTTATTTTTGTTTTATGTGTTCTGTTCAATTGTTGAATCATTGAGATTTACTTAACAAAGGTTAGGATTTTTCATGTTTAATCTATGGGGATTTTTGCTTATGATGTAACTAAGGAATACAAATAGCTACGCTACTTAGTAAGTAGTAATGTTTTATATATTTACACCTCTTTGAGTTCTCCAAATTATTCTGTTTGTTGTGTGTAGCTCGATTGGATTTTTACATGATAAAAAATTTATGTTTATTGTGAAATAATTGATTGACGTATAGCTTGTAATAACTAAATTCTATTTCCTGTAATCTTTTCTCCCACTTTAGTCTAAAAGGATGCTTTGAGAAACTCAACATTTCTTTTGAGTTATTAGCGCGTTATTGATTATTTGAATATATTGCATAAGGAATCTGAGTTATCATCCCTATCAAGAAGAACCCATTTTCGAAGCAAAAAAAAAGAAGAATCCATTTAACATGTAAAATTCAGGGGTGGACTTTTTTTTTTTTTTTGGTGTGTGTGTGTGTATGGTTGGCCATTTCTTATCGCTTGTTCATTTGCAATTCACCACATTTGTTTTTGTTTTTTGTTTTTTGTTTTTGAAGTAGGAATGGTTAACTTTTTCCATTTTATCAGAGTGATTGTACTTCTAATAATGGCACCGCATATATTGCGAGTTCTGATCATCTTTCATCTTTCTTTTTTGTTTATTCAGATATCTCTTTGGATGACAGACAGTAGGTTTCTTAGAATATCACCAAGTGATGCAGCGATTAGGTTGGATCTGATTTACAGAGTTCACGGACTTGAACGTGCAGAAAATTATTTCAATAGTGTGTCAAGAAAGTTAAGAACACGTAGTGCATATGTTGCTCTCCTCAGGAGTTATGTTCGAGAGAACTCTGTTGAGAAAGCCAAAGCTAGTATGCAGGAAATGAGAAATATGGGTATGATAAATTCATCTTTACCATACAATATATTAATCAACCTTTACACTCAGAATGGACAATTCGATAAGATTGACATGTTGATGCAAGAAATGGAAACGAAGGGAATACCTCACGACAAGTACACTTTGAGAAATCGCATGTCTGCGTATATTGCAGCGTCTGACATTTTGGGAATGCAAAATATCCTGAATAGGATGGAGGAAGATCCGTGCTTTTCTGTCGACTGGAAAGTTTACTCGTTGGCAGCAAGTGGTTATCAGAAAGTCGGGATGTTGGAAGAGGCTTTGGAAACGCTTCGGAAACTTGAACAGGAAATAGCAAAAACGAGCAATAAAACAAACAAGTCAGCTTTTATGTTTCTTCTTACTCTCTATTCGAGTATTGGCAATAGAGATGAGCTTTACAGAGTTTGGAGCACATACAAACCATCAAATGGGCTGATAGATCTTCCATACGCCTGCATGATCAGATCCCTCACAAAGCTGGATGATATTGAGGGTGCTGAGAGGATCTACGATGAGTGGGAGTCAAAAAGCACATTTTACGACTTCCGGGTGCTTAACAGCATTCTTGCTGCATATTGCAAGGAGGGTCTTTTTGAGAAGGCAGAATCAGCATTAGAGAAGGCCGTAAAAGGAAGAACCACCAACACGGCATCATTTAATATCTTGGCAAACGGGTATGCAAAGAACAACAAAATGCCAAAAGCAGTTGAAATGTTGAAGAAGGGACTCTCAATAGGTCGAAAGGGGTGGATGCCAAGTTGCGTCACTTTGGCTGCCTGTCTAGATTACTTGAAAGAACAAGGAGATGTTACGGGAATGAAAGAAATTATAAGTGCATTGAGAAACGCGGATGTTTTAAGCATGGATACATGTCAGGAATTATTGAGAGCTTGTGATGCAGCTGGAGAATCATTTTTGAATAGAAACTACACTCAAAAGAATCAAAATTGTTTTAAGTTGTTCTACATGAACCTAAACCTTTTAGCTACAAATCCCGTTTGAAGAACTAATATAGCTTCTTACTCATTTTTATTTTGCTTTTTTTTTTTTTTACATAACAAACCTCACTCTTTTTTTTTTTTAAGCCAACATTGCTTGCAGTTGCAGAGAAAGAATAGAAGAAGGTAGGAGGAGGAAGAAAGACAGAAGAAAGAGAAAGAGTTTGATGATGGGCCCCACAGAGAAAAGGGACATTTATTTCTTATATTCGTTACTGATTTTGAATCATAATTTATGATTTTTTATAATATTTTTTCTCATAAAAAATACACGTAAAATGAAAATAATTCTGAATACATAAACCAAACGTCATATAAGACAAAAGTGTACAGTTTATTTTTTTAAAAGTAAATGAGTGTAATTTTTTATTCATTATTCATGATTAATACGATTTTATTAATATAATAATTTAATTAAAAAAATTATTAATCAAAATTAAGGAATAAAAATTATGATGCATATAATTTTAAAGAGTATTTATCTCTTTTCCTCACACTTAAATAAAAGAATCTTAAGTACCGGCGACTTAACTATATCTTGAGTTATAAAATTCAAATTCCCTTTCACCCTTTTTTTTTTCCCTAAAGAAGATCATGTAATGTTTGACAATAAAAGTGCTACATGTAACATTTATATTCAAATGCATTTTTGCGTACTTTTTAGATATTCTAAATCAAGGAATGAGACTAAGGCCTCGTTCGTTTTGTAGATTCGAATTTTCATTTTAAGTTGAGATGTAACATTTTCTGAGAGCTTTTAACTGTAGAAATCTAGAACTGAAAACTCAAATCAGGACTTAAAAGTGCAATTGGTGGAAATTATAATTTCGTTGGTGGTTTTTTTTTTCTTTTCTTTTCTTTTCTTTTCTTTTTTTTTTTTTTTTTTCACTAGCCCTCAAAAGGTTATTGAATGACTTGAGAATTGGCCTTTCTTTCCACCTCAAATTGTTTTAAGAAAGAGCAACATTCCATATTTCCGTTGATCTAAGAATCTGGAAGAGCTTTTGCTTAGAGAAGAAATGTTATGGAAACAGAAATCCAGGGTTCAATGCTGCAATAAGGGGACATGAGTACTCGTTTCTTTCATGTGTCTACTATAATTAGAATGCGTAGAAATTGGATTTACAACATCAAAGACGGAACAAGTGCTCTCCTCGATACTAGGGAGGATATAACAAATGTCTTTGTCCGAAAGTTTGAGAGGCTATATTCCTCTGAAGGTAATGTTTTCCCTCCAAACCTTGAAAGCTTAATTGCTCTAGTTGTGTTACTAGAAAAATAATCTTGAGCTCACAAGGGTGCCCATAGAGGATTAAATTATGAAAATTGTGTGGTCTATGGATCTGTGGAAAGCTTCGGGACCGGACGGTTTTTTCGAGATGTTTTCCAAACACTACAGGCAGATAGTGAAAAAGGACGTGGTGGAGTGGATGCCAGGCAGATAGAATAGAAACATAGTTATGGCTCCTACTTCTCTAATCATAACTAAAGATCCCTTAGTGGCAGAGATGGAGGCTATTCGCTTCGCCTTTCAGGCTTCTTCCAAATCAGACTTCTCAACAAGATCCATTGAAAGTGATAGTGCTCTTGCTATCTCAAGTGTTACAGGCTCCGCTACTAATTGTCCTTGGTCTCTCCGAAACATTAAGATGGATTGCGATAGACTCTCTCCCAAGTCTTCGAGATCACAGACTTCTCCTGATTTAATAGATCGTGTAACTTTACGAGCTATAACTTAGCCGAGAGGAGCAGGACTACCCTTGTTTTTGGTTTCTTATCTCAGTAGTCCATCCCCTTACTGTTTTCAAGGATACTGAGGAGTGGTTCCTCTAGTTTTGGGCCTCACTTATTTCCTTGTCTTCGGCTTAATTGTAACTGTTCCTTTTATTTCTTTTTCGATGTTTCCTCTCGATTTGCTTTTGTTTTGTTTTTTTTTTTTCCTTTCGGAGTGTTTCTTTTTGTTCCTTGTTGCTGTTTTTTTTGTCCCTTGTTGTCGTTTTTGGCTTTGTTACGGATCTCTATCTAGCAAAAAAATAGATAAAGGCTCCAGTTTTTCACCAAGGACCATCCTAAATATAACATGTAGAAATAGAGGATAAAATGACATTTATTTTAATAATAATGCCTTTATAAACGTGTGACAACAAATAATTTATCAACCACAAACTAATATTACACATTTTTAAAGTAATTGTTAAATGAAAAAAACAAAGCTATCTTACACAAGAATAAAGAAAAAGCTATGTTATGCTCCCCAAGGACCGAACACAAGACCATCACTATACATTTTTTTTTTTTCGTTTTCAATTATTAGTACTTTGGCAGCTTTTATGGTAGGGTAAACATTTTTACATCACGGGTAGGTACTGCTATTTAGTTGTTGGAATATAGTGTATTAGCTCATGTTTGGTAGGAAGGAAAAAAAATATGATAGAAAGGAAATATAGAAGTGATAGAAAATAGTAATGATATAAAGGAAATTGATTTTCTTTTATGTTGTTTGGTATAAGAAGATGGAAAGAAAATGGTAGTTTAGTAAATCTTACTCGTAAATTCACTTGTTTAGTATTGGAAGTTAAATTGGGAGGAACGAAAAAATCTTACTCGTAAATTACTTTTATACCCTTAAATTTTTTGCTTGGATGTTGACGGAGAAAATGGTAGTTTAGTAATTTTGCTCACTTTAATGAGTTGTCCCCATTTCCATCCCATTTTCTGCCCACTTGTGGAAAGAAAAAAAATGGTAGGGTCCACATGTATTATTTTTCACTCTATTTTCTCTTCATTTCTCTTTTCTCTCGTATCAAACATCCTACATTTTCATTTTTTCTCTTAAAATCCCTCCACCTTCTTCCTTCCTTCTACTTTTCTTTCCTACCAAACATTGTTTTCGTTAGACTTTGGGAGAGGCAAGTGGAAAATTTGGGATTCTCGACTACAACTAGGATAACAATTCAGATTATTGAGACAGAAGAATCTAGCCGGACTACTTACGATGAAATCGGAAATCTTAGAGTTTTTAGTTTGTTGATTCTCTTCTATTTGGATTTGCATGCTGTTTAATTCTAGTTTTTTTTTTTTTTTTTTTTTTTTTTTTTTTTTTTCATTACAATCATCTCCGTTTCAAATTGTTTAGAAAAAATTACAGTTTAACATAATTTCAATACTTCATAAGCAATTAATGCAGAAATGATACTCATACTCACACCTCTATTACTTGTTACGACAACGTGCTCTTATGTTCATAAAATTCACAACATTTCCTTTACTTTTACTACCTTGAACCTTTTGTAAACCCAGATGAGTATTATATTTCTTTATATTCTTTGTTTTTCCTTCTGTGTTTGACAATCAAAATTAACATATATACATATAGGGGTGTGTTTTAAGGGTCACTCTAATATTTATTTATTAGTGAATATTATTATTTTAACCGTATTATATTAATCATACTGTTACAATAAATTGACTAATTAACTAAAAAATTTATGATAATTTAATGAGATTGAATTTTTATCACATCATATCGTCAAATTTTTATATTTAACGGATAACCGCCGGTAAAAACATTTAAAAACTCGTCTATATATATATACATACACACACATAAAGTATAAAACAATGTCTATATCATATGCGTTGCTAACTCCATTAAAATTATGAGCGCCACGTTTGAACGACATGAAATTCATTCCAAAATCAAATATTTTCTTGATTTCAGAATTGTTTCCTTTTTGCACATAAGTTTTTATCTTTTTTAATACTCGTTTAGATTTATTTTTCAAAGGTTCATTAAAGAAAAGAATTGTGTTTATTGAAGGGGTGTAAAAATTTTTTCATGTCAAAAGAAAGGTGTGAGGAGAGAATTTTTCTTGTGTTTGAATAAAAGGGTTATTTTCTTTAAGAATATAGTTCGCGCCTGTGCTTTATCCAACTTCATTGGTGGATCTAATCAATAATCAGAATCAAATTCCTTTGTAGTTGGTAGTCATTTGCGACTATTTTTAAGTATGTAATTTGTTAAATTTGAAATGAAATTTTTCCAAAAAAAAAGAGAAGTATGAGAAAAGCATATAGAGGGGTGGCAATAGAGACCTCCAAATCCCAATTACAATACATCAAATATTTTTTGTAAGTATCTCGTAAATGAATTTGATTAACTATAGAATCTTAGTTGCTTTTTTTTTAATAGGACATTGACTAAATAGTATTGATGACAACTATAGTATACTTAACAAAACTAAAAACATAAAATAAATAAGAAGAAGAAGAAGAAGATAACTAAGTCGGCAATACTAGAGCTTTTGTCTTCATTGTATTAATATTTTACTCAAAAAATTTAGGGAAAAGTTTAAGTTTAACTATTATTTTTTTCAACTCTAATATTAATATTATTACACAAAATTTGACGACATTAGGAAAGATATGAAATAAAACTTTTAGATCCATTGCGTGTAGTGAGATAATTTCATCTACCTATCTAACGGTTGTAATTACCAAGATCGTGATTTTAATTTTTATTCCGTTACTCTATGGAGAAAGCATGCGCTGAAAAATCAAACTTAAAAAAAAAACAAAAATCATAAGGACTAAGGAAGAAAAAGATTTTGAATGGTTGAAAAATAAGCCAGTCCCACTAGTTACTGCTGTAGTACGATAATAACATCTCAGCAGACTGATTCCCTTTGCTTTTTGTTGCTTTTCTTCGTTTACCTGTCTTTCACATTGATGGTTTCTTCCCTACTTCCGTCCTCGACTAATTCTTTCACATGCTGAAAACTTTCCACGAAACTGCTCGGAATTTCCTCGTCTTACTGCAGTTACATACTGCAAAATTTTGATCATATTATTTCTGAAATTAGGAGCCAGAGAAGGAACTTTCAAGTCTTTACGTACAAAAACAAGGAATTGTTTTGCTCGTTTGGTGATTTGTGAATTTTTAGTATGGTTAACATATGTTCTTCGTCGTCGCCGTCGTCTTCTTCTTTACAAGAAAAGTACGATGTCTTTCTTAGTTTCAGAGGAGAAGATACCCGTGAAAATTTTATTAGTCATCTTTATGATGCTTTGTGTCGGAAGAAAATCGAAACATATATCGATTACAAACTCGAGAGGGGAGATGAAATCTCAATAGCTCTTGTGAAAGCAATCCATGGATCGAGGCTTTCCATAATTATTTTCTCGGAAAATTATGCTTCCTCTCCGTGGTGCTTGGATGAGCTCGTGCACATACTTAGGAATAAGGAAAAAAATGGACACCTAGTTGTACCTGTATTCTACCGCATAAATCCATCGCATATCCGGAAACAACAAGAAAGTTATGGAATTGCCTTAACTGTGCTTGAAGAAAGGTTCAAGAAGGGAAGAGTGAACCAATGGAGGAATGCACTGACAGCGGCAGCAAATCTATCTGGGTGGGATTCATTGGTTACCAGGTAAGTACAGTAGTAAAAATTAAGGCCTTGTTAAGATTTGAATATTTTTTTAGAATTTTTAACTATAATTAAAAAAATTAGATATGATATTTTTTTAGAGTTTTTAATTGTAAAAATTTGAATTAAAAACTTAAATTGATAAAATTAACTTGGCCTAAAAATATATATTTTTACTAACTTTTTTATGGTAAGAAAAATTCCACACTCACGTTCTAATTATCCATGGCTCACCATAATTGTTGTTCATCTTCTGCTTTCATTCATGAACAAACAATTTATAAGAAATTCATTTAATTTAAGGGAAATTGTGCGTGTGGGGTGGCTGAAAACAACCTCCCAATTAAATTAATGTAAGTAGTTTTCAGATTTTAAAAAAATAACCCAACTTACCCAGATCTTTCTCTCTCTTTCCCCGATCTACTTTTTTCTTCTCCGGAGCTTGTGCTAGTGCGCAGGCTGATGAAAATTAGCAGATCTCCACGATGGAGATGATGCCAGAGCTAGGGTGGCGTCAGTGGACGGCCACGAGCGTCTTTGTCAAGATGGGAGATAAGAGGGCATCAGAGTTAGGTAGGGGCAGCAGCTTTGCAGTGAGAAAAAAATGAGAGAAAAAAGAGAAAGAAAATGAGTGACTTAGGGTTTGGATGTTTTTTTTTTTTTTTACCTCGGCCTCTCGCTGCTTGATCTTGGTTATCATTTATTAATCGTGGTCTATCACTGTTTGACTACGCCTATCACTACTTAACCGTGATCTATCAATGATTGATCGCAGATTAACTACAAAATTGCTTTGTTCTTTTTTTTTTTATCGGATCTTTAAATTCATTAAAACGGCCATTGGCCTAATTTAAACAGAGGTTACAAATGGGAAATTTAGTTCTATATCTCTTCTCATTCTATCTCAGAATATCTATTCACCAGAAACTGAGCTCCCTTAATTTAATTATTAGAATGTCCAAGCTCCTTCACTCCTGTACTGAGATAAATTATATATATATATATATATATATAGTATTTAACTGAACAAAACAAGTTTGCTGTAATATTCAACACTAAAACCGCAAACAATTAATCCTATATTCAAAATCCATCAGACTTTACAATTTTATGATTCATACGTACCTCTTGATTTTTTTATACAAACATTTTAAACAACTTGAACAAAAGCAACCTTGGATCATCACCTAAGATTAAGGCCAACACAGTATTTGACATAATGGAAAAATAAATTTGGTGGTTACCAACCAAATTATAGAATTAAGTATATATATATACCTTAACTATAATTTGATGGCATGACGTTTTATATGGTTTGCTATAACAAATTAAGCAATCGCTTAACCTTAAGCATTAACTAAAACGATTACTTTTCAACTTTTAGACGTGGCAATGGAGATCTGGAATAAAAAACCAGATTAGATAATGGATGGGAATTTGTTTCTTTTCTTAGTATTAATTTCCTTTTCTATTTAGTTGTTTAGTTTGTGAAAGCTGCGTGGACTATGAGTTATGATTGTTTAGCTTTTGATTTGACCTATAAAACCAAGGGGTACTTATTTAGTTGTAAAATCTTTGGCTTTTTACACTAATAAATTTTTTTTCAGGGGATACAGGTTTTATTTGTCTTCGTTTTTATTTTTGTTCTAGTATTGTTAAATAATTAGTTTTGATTTATTAAATGAAAAATTGAGAGTAATATTTATGGTTTATGACTATTGTGTTTTAATTTTTGAGTATATTATAGGTACATTTGGTTACTTTTCCATATTTTAATGTTGTGAATTCATTATCAGTTTTGGCTTTGTTATTACTACTCATTTTTTATTTTGTTTTATTTAATAAATTGTAATGTGTGTGTATATATATATATATATATATATATATATATATGTGTGCGCGTGGCAATGCTATGGTCCTGCTATAAAGACCATATTTCTATTGTAAGAAGTGAGAAGCATTTCAATCTAACATTGACGTTGTAAAGGTGTAATAATATTAATAATAGCGTTTGATACTTAAATTTCTTGGTGTTACACCTTTTCAACATGAGTACTGTTATGTAAAATAAATGCAACATTACGGGCGCGTTTAGAACTCGTTCTAAAATGATTTTATTTTTTGTATGAAAATGAAAATGAAAACGTTTTCAATCTCAGAATGAAATCATTTTTAAAAATGCGTTTGGTAGTTTTATCAATAGATTATTTTTAGTGTAAAAAAAAAACTCATTAATGTCTCTCTTTCTCTCTCTCTCTGCTCGAGAAAGGAAAAAATAAAAATAAAAAATGAAAAACGACTAAAAGTGTGCATGTGTGTGTATTACGTGCGTTCTTTTGTTTCATATTAATATTTTGATGTCACTGACTGTTGTATTTGTCCTTCTTATATGTTATAGGCCTGAGTCCAAATTAGTTGAGGCGATCGTGGAAGACGTTTTAAAAAAGTTGAGTTGTCTTTCAGCTTTTGATGATTTCAAGCTTGGCCTAGTTGGAATTGACAAACGCATTGAAGAAATTATACCATTGTTACGGATCGGATCACTAGATGTTCGAATAATCGGCATTTGGGGCATGGGCGGTATAGGTAAGACAACTCTTGCAAGCGTTGTATTTAACGGACTAGCCTCTCAATTTGAAGGTTGCTGCTTCCTTGAAAATGTGAGGGAAGAGTCAGAAAAACATGGAATAAACTATTTACGGAAAGCATTTTTCTCTAAACTGTTGGAGGAGGAAAACTTGGACATGGGACCCTTGTGTGTAGGAACAACTTTTATTAAGAACAGACTGCGCCGCAAAAGAGTGCTTATTGTTCTTGATGATGTGAATGATTTGGATCAATTGGAACACTTTGTTGGAGATCGTAATTGGTTTGGCCCTGGAAGTAGAGTTATTGTAACGACTAGAGATATGCAAATGCTTAGGAATGAAGTTGACGAAATATACGGAGTTGAGAGACTGAATTTTGCTGAAGCTGTTCAACTTTTTAACTTCAATGCGTTTAGAAGAAGCTCTCCGACAACAGATGACATTGAGTTGTCAGAAAGGGTTGTGAAATACGCCAAAGGCGTTCCATTAGCTCTTAAAGTTTTGGGCTCTTTCCTTCGTGGCAAGAGAAAGGAGAACTGGGAAAGTGAGTTGGATAAATTGGAAGTAGTTCCCAACATTAAAATTCAGAATGTATTGAGGGTAAGCTACGAGGGACTGGATAAAAAAGAGAAGAATATATTTCTTGACATCGCGTGTTTCTTCAAAGGAATGGAAAGAAAATATGTGGAGCAAATTTTGGATGCTTGTGGTTTCTTTGCAAAAATAGGAATAGATGATCTTATTGATAAGTCTCTCGTAATCATCAAAGACCGCAACATACTATGGATGCATGATTTGATACAAGAAATGGGCTGGGAAATCGTACGATCTATCGAAGAGATTAGAAAGCGCAGTAGGCTGTGGATTGCTGAAGATATCAATCATGTTTTCAAACATCAAAAAGTACGTACAACTTGGAGTGAGCTTCTCTTTTTAAATTTCATGAACTACTTCTTAAGAAATGTGTGTGTGTGTTTGTGTTTATGTTTGTATTTGTAAATTATATATATGCTTGTCTATAAATTGTTCTCTTCTGTCAGGGGACTGGAGCAATTGAAGGAATCTTCCTAAACATGTCTGAGTTTAGAGATTTTCAATTATGTCCTGAGGTCTTTAAAGAGATGTGTAATCTGAGACTGCTCAGAGTTTATTATTCGAGCCACATCAAGGAATCCAAAGTGTATCTCCCTCTAACTCTTCAATTTCTTCCTAATGCGCTTAGATATCTTGATTGGTATGAGTACCCATTGAAATCTCTGCCATCAAGTTTTATTCCCCGGAATCTTGTTGAACTTGACATGCGCTATAGCCAACTTGAGCGCCTTTGGGATGGGGTCCAGGTATGTTCTACTGCCGTTGCGACTTGCATATTTTGAAAATTTATGGTCCGGAAACTAATAAATTCGTGTCTAAGTTTTGTGCGCCCATCCATAATTCTTATTATCACTCCTCTACTTTTTACAGGATCTTATAAACTTGCGACATATCGATCTTGGTCACTCCAAGCGCCTGACTCAAGTCCCGGATCTTTCCCGTGCTCCAAATCTCGAGAGTATCAATCTTGAATGTTGCATAAGTTTACTTCAAGTTCCTTCCCTCATATTCAAAACTCTAGACAAGTTTCGCACCTCTTTAGATATGGGCTACTGCGAAGACATTTGTTGTCTTAAAGAAAGACCTCATCCACGAGCTCTCGGGACTGTTAATCTCGATGGGTGCTCTAATCTCAAATCTCTCTCACGATTTGATGGGAATATGAAATATTTACATTTAAGTAACACTGCAATTCAAATATTTCCATCATCAATTTGCTCTGTGAACAACCTTGTTTCATTGAACCTTAGCAACTGTCTATGGCTTAAGAATCTTCCAACAAGCATTAGTAAGTTGGAGTCTCTGCATGTTCTTAATCTATCTGGTTGCTCATCTCTTGACAAATTTCCAGAAGTTCCCAAGAATGTAAGAGACCTAAATTTGCGAGAGACAGCATTAGAACAAGTGCCATCATCAGTTATGCGTCTCTCTTATCTCAAGACATTTCATCTCGGTAATTGCAAAAGGCTTAAGAGTATCTCACCCAGCATTTGTAAGTTGAAATCTCTAGGCTTGTTTGATCTCGATGGCTGCACAAATTTGGAAGACTTCCCTGAAATATTGGAGCCTATGGAGCTTTTAGAGCAGCTCGATTTACGTGAAACGGGAATAAAAAGGCTACCATTTTCGATTGAAAAACTCGTTGGGCTTTGTTCTTTGAGTATGCGATCGTGCGAAAATCTTGAGTTTGTCCCATGCAGTATCTACAACATGCACCGTCTTGAAAGTGTCTTCTTCTCTAGCTGTTCAAAACTTGAAAATTTGCCGCCCATGAGTGATTTGTGTCATTTGGCTTATCTTGACCTCAGCTACTGCAATGTATTGGAAATCCCTGATTCACTAAGCTGTCTATCCTCATTAACAACATTGGATCTAAGAGGGAATATGTTTTGTAGCATACCTGCAAGCATTAAACAAGTTTCGAAGTTGAAGGTTCTCAAGTTAAGCGATTGCAAGAACCTACAATCTGTGCCGCAACTTCCATTGTCTTTGGAGTCTCTTAATGCAAGTGGATGTGAGTTATTGGCGGAAGTATCACATTCAAAGACAGCATTCACTCAAGGCCACATTGACTATAATGTTATTCATAGCTGGGATTTTCTATTTTATGGTTGCCTAAAATTAAATCAAAATGCACGCGACAATACAATGACTGAATTCCAATCTAGAGTTTTGCAGACATCAACAATATCTGTATCAAATCCTGAAGAACTGGAAGTATGTCTCGTATTGCTAAACTAGAGTTTTTTCTTCTTTTTTTTTTTTAATATTTGAAATAATAATTAATCATGATGATTCTTATTCATGTCACAGGATTCAGAAGTTTTGAAAAGTTCCGAATATCTTGAGGTCAGTGTCTGTTTTCCGGGACTTGAAATTCCAAAGTGGTTCAACCATCAATCTGAGAAATCTTCGATAAATATCGAGCTCTCTCCGCATTGGCATGATACCAACTTCTTGGGGTTTGCTTTATGCGCAGTTGTTGCATTTGGGGACTATCATTGTACTTTCAACTATTTGAACTTTTACTGCGAACTCCATTTTAAAACCGAACATGGCAAAAGCGACACACTTTCTTGGAGTTTCCCATGTTGGGAAAATGGTGAGCTGGAGCAATTGGAAAGAACAATTTTCAGTTCTGAACATGTGTTCATGTTGTACAAGCATGAGAGCTACCGTGATTGTTTCGATGGCGCCGTCGAAGTGTCATTTGAGTTCTTGGTTAGAAATGACTGGGGACAACTTCTTGAGTCCAATGATTGCATAGTTAAAAGATGTGGTGTTCGCCTACTATCCCTCCAAGATGTAGAGGAATTTCATTTTGTCAACAATCAATACGAATTTGGCCAGTCAGATGCCGCCTTTGACGAGCCTGAACCAAATAGCAATGGAGCAGTTCACTTCGTTATTGGCGAAGGAAAAGATGAAGGACTACGCGAAAGTGGTAAATTAAGTCTCTCTCTGTATTTTTCTCAAGTGAGAATTCCCTCTATGATTGAATTAAATGGACTGTGGTACAAAATCCAAAAACAATTATTACAAATAATATAGTTTAGGCTTTTTGCTATGGTCGTCTTAAAAGAACTATATTTTCCCACAACATACAGAAGAGAAAATAAATTTCTTATTGCATTCAATAAATATTATATATATTATATTGCACCCCTCACGTCTATATATTATGTTAAATAAATACCGATGAAAAAGAGATAGTGAGGAGCATTTTGCAATTATCTACATTTATGTGTTTACTCACAATACATGTATATATACATACATATATATATATATATATATAAGAATGCTAATTTGATAGGCCTAAGTGATGGGGACATGAGAGTGCCAACCTAGTCGAAGCTTTGTAAAAACTTGAAACAGATTTAGGGCCTGTTTAGTTTGCTGGTTTGAGTTTTTAATTCGAGTTGAGATGTGATTTTATATGAGAGCCTTTTACTGTAGTAAAAAATTTAGATGTGTCTGTTTCTGGGAGCTTTTTATTGTAGTAAAACTCGAATTCTAAACTCGAATCGGTGAAATGAACGGGAATTGTGTCTAATTTCACTAGAGTGGAGTTAGTGGAAGAATTTTGGTACCTATGGCTATAGTTGTTTGGTAAGAGGAAAAAGGAAAGGTAATAGATTGAAAGTGAGGGACTTCAAATCCTATAAAGTAGCCTAGTGGTAATTCTAACATTGACTCCGTCACAAAGTGTGGAGTTCAAATCCCCTCACCTCCAAGTTTCAAAAAAACAAGAAAAATCTCAAATGTATATGAAGAGATTTGAGGAGGGAATGATCAATTCCAAACACAATAGGATGAAGGTCCCCCCTTTGCTCTCTATCTCCCTCAGCTACTTTTTTAGATTTGATGTCAATGTGCAATATTAATCTAAGCCCGTCACTCTCATGTTTAGTTTGGCTTGAAAAATGCTACTTTTTCTGATATAGTTTTAAAAAAAAAAAAAAACTGCTTTTGAGCTAGTTTGGATGAACAAATAAAAGTGTTTTTGGCTTTTATAAACTCTTTTAGAACAAGTCACCTCACGAGTGTTTATCAAAAAAGAGCTTATTGGAAAGCTTTTTTACTTACATTTTTATCCTCTTAATTGTAAACGAAAAATTAAAAATTCCACTCATATCCGTATATTACATTACTTTTTGTAATAATAAGTACTTTTGACTTATTTATCTAAACAAGTTTAAAAACTCTTCTGAAATTAAAAAGCGTTTTTTAATGTACTATCCTAAGACTAATTAAAAAACTCTGACTTATACTTCTTCTACTACTGAAAAATAAAAGCACAAATTCTCCCAAAACAGGCGCTTATTTCTTTTTTGTGTCTGTTCAAATTAAGTAATGTTTTTTTATAATTCTTCGCCTTTAAGCTGAATCTTTCCTGTATATTTATTGCAATGATATAATTGCATCTTTGGATGTGCAGATACTAATCAAGCGCAGCTACTGGATGAGCTCTCAAAAGAAATCCAGAACTTGGATATTAGTAAGCCTCCTCTTTCGTTAACCCTGCTCCAATCAATAATGCCATGCTTCATTTCACTCATTTAACAAAGCTGAATTTTTCCAGCATATTATATTGATATATATATACATATATATTTATGTCAAGTGACAATTAATCAATTATTTCTATGTTTGAATATAGATACTGTGGAAACTCAGCAGTTAGATGAGCTCATGGAAAATATAATGAATTACTTTAATACTAGTACAGAAGACCCTTCAACCACTCATTGACCGGATTTTCTTGTACCTGATTTATAATGAAGGTAAACTGAAAGAGAGGAATTATTTGTTAATATCTTACTTTAATTTTTTGTTTTAGCTTTTGTTGTTCATATTATTTACTTTTCTCTTCTTTTATTTGACCTTTATTTTCCAGAAATGTTCGTCTTCCCGGTGGAAAATCGGCGGCTGCGATTGTGATTGTTGTGTTCTTTCTTGTGTATTTTTCCATATCCTTGTTTAAGAAATCGAAAGGAGCAACTTTTTAGATCAATGATTGAATTATTAGAGTACAATGTTGAAAATGTTGAAAACCGAATCTTACTCAACAGGAATACTATCGACTTCATTGTGATTCTTCATGCATAGACAGAGTTTTCTTAATGGAAAGCTGTACCATTTTGGCTACCAAAATCACGAGTATATGGATAATAAATATATGGACTTCCTTTGTTTCAAAAAGGAAAGGAGAGGGATAGATGGATTCAGAATTATGATTTTAAATCTTGATTCAGAATTAATGTTTGTTTACGGTAATTTTAAATTATGATTCTGAATCAGTGTTTAGTTTGGATGATTCTGAATTATGATTCAGAATCTGATCCGATGTCACTCATAATTCTAAAATCACCCCATCTTGATTCAAGGTGATTCAAATTCCTGATTTTAAATCATGGTTTCAGAATCATAATTTGAACTTAAAATCATAAATAATAGTTCTGATTTCAAAATCATAATTAGAATCATCTTCATTTAAATTCTCGTACCAAATGAATCCGAAGTGATTCTATTTAAAAGTGTAGTCAATAGGAGATAAAAATACTTATGCATCCTACAAAATACTGATAAAATTAAAAAAAAATAATAATGACCAATAAAAATAGAAATGTATCTAACTACCGATATATACAATATGAATTTTTTTTTAATTTCTCTGATATTTCCCTAAAGTTTGTAAAATTACGTGGCAAACTCACCGAAATTAATATTTCGATTTTTACAGCTAAAAGATATTGCAGCATCTTCAAAATACAAAATTTTCAACCAAAATTTTCAAAATTTTGATAAAATTTTTGTCGGGAGAACTGTCCATGCTCAAAGCTAATCAGAATATGTTATCCCTCATGAAGAGAGGCCGAATCCACGTGGTCAATAACACAAGGGAAAATACACCATATAGTACATTTCACATTTATGTTTAAAATAAATAGCATATTTTTTAAATGATAGTAAATTATAGCATCCTGATTTTGCTTCTAAAATAAATTTCTTATTTCGAGTTTTATCCTTTTCACTTTTTCTTTCCTTTCCTCTTCTTCTTGTTTTACAATATTTACTAGTAAATACTGTTAAAAATTGTGTCCTAAAAGCATGAAATGAAATAAATAATATTATTATTTATATAATAAAAGAGAAATTTCATTATTTATGTGTATGTACTATTGAATACTTTATAAATATCATTGACAATTTCACGTTTATTTATGTAACCTTAAATATTGTATATAAGAGTTATATACGAGAGAATAATATTTAAGGATAAATCGAAATGTGTTCATAATGAATTTAATTAAAATTTCAGAATCTTTAATTAAAAATATTACTAATACATGTCATTCTCATTAAAATTAGAACGGTGTTATCCGCACTGTTAATATGAAAGGATATTGAATGATTGTATTACACATAATGTGATTATGTGGAACCGGGACACAGACACGATTTGAATTTCTGATAATTTTCGTAGAAGTATAGAAATTCGAATTGAGTCTACCAATGGTCATATATAGAACGATCTCAATCATGAGTTATTAGCATACTCTTATTTATGGATTTGTATCTTTTGACTTACTCAGTGTGAATTTTGATATTCTAAATCATATTCCTTGTATCTTGGAGACATGATAAAGTAGGTAGCCGGGAATGTTAATATATAAGATGGAATCCATTCCATCTTGAATAAAGAAGTACATAAATAATTCTATTTAGAGTTAATTCGGTACTTGAATCGGTTACGAGCTCGTGTTCATGAATTTGTTTAATGAATATACTATTCATTAGAGAATCAATGGTACCCAAGGATAAAGATGTAGTTAGAGAAGTTAACGGATTTCACCTTACTCTAATTATGAATTATTTATAGAAGATTGATCTATATGTAATGACTATATCAAATGAACACTTCAAAGTTTGGAAGTAAATTATATCTATAATTACGAGAGTGTAATTCCAAGTTTATAGTGGAGTAACTTTAAAATTAATAGAATTAATTAATTAATTATTAATTTTATTAGAGCTCAGAATTATAGGTCCATGAGTCCCCATGTCGTCCTTGTAAATCTACAAGACACTAAGGACAAATTGAGATTTTTTTTTTTAGAATTATGGAATTCAAAATAAAATACTCAAAAATAATTAATTGGATATTAAATAATGTGATTATTTAATTTGAATTTGGAACACACATGTGATGAAGATCACAAGTGTCACACGTCCAGCATTGTTAGAAACCCTCCGGGATTTAGTTGCTTGCTCTCTAAGTTATCTAGTTGACTTATTTGATAAGTTATCCAATTAGAATTCAAATTGAATTTAAGTTTGACTTTAATTTGAATTTGAATTTTGAGTCAAAATTAGACAACTGGATAAAGGAGAAATTTAGGGTGCATTTGGAATCCGTTTCAAAATGATTTTATTTTCTGTATGAAAATGAAAATGAAAACGTTTTCAATCTCAGGCAGTAATCATTTCTAAAAATGCGTTTGGTAGTTTTATTCAGAGATTGTTTTTTGTACAAAAAAAAACTGAAACTGCGTTTGGTTTTACATTTTTGAAAACATGTAATAATATTTGAAATAATATATTAAATAATTAATAAACTCCCCAATCAATACACTAATAATTAATATAATATATACATATCTCATATATGTAAATATTTTATACTTACTATTTTTCAATTGTCTTAACATACGTAAATAGTAAACAATTAGGATACCAATTACCACACATATTACTTACGCACGACTCTAACAAATGTAAAGGAAAACAATCAACACCGACAACACACAAAACCCAAATTCAGAAATCCAACCAACCCAAAAAAAAAAGAAAAAAAACAAAACAAAGCCAATAGAACAGAGCAACACAAAGTAAAAGTGTTCAATCTTTTTTCCTCTAAAAATCTAGAGTTATCAAAAGAAAACCCAAAATCAAACCCACAAAAAAAAACAAAAACAAGTGAAGCTTTTTCCATGGCAGATAACTTGGAAGAAGAACAAGAAAGAACATCTTCATCGTACACGCTATTTCTAAGAGTCATGAGCAAAAGGCGAACATGGGTATGCATATTTGTCCTAGTGTACACAATAATCCTAACCTCCTCTTGGAATTTTCTCAAATCCATACTTTCTTGGTACAATCTGCAATTGAAATCATCATCATCAACTTTCGGTTGGCCCGCTCTTTACGCATCCGTGCTTCTCGGAGCAGTGTTCGAGGTCGTGTCGATGGTGGTGGCTCTGACGGTGATGGTGCTGGCGACACTGGTGATGTGGATCGCCATTGTCGTGCTCTTGGCCTTCTTCAGCATGTCAAGGAAAGGAAATAAACAGAAGGATTAAGATGGGGAAAATGAAAATAGGAAAGGAAAATGATTATGAATCGTTTTCAGATTCTCGGTATTTTTGGGAACAATTACAAAACGTTTTCAATTTTACTTTTCGTACAATGCGGTGCCAAACGCGTATCTCAGGGCATTTTCATTTTTTGGTCCTGGGAAAATATGAAAAATGTTTTTGAAAAGGGTTCTAAACAGGCACTTAATCTCCTCCTTATCTACAGTAAGCGCCAACCACAGGGGACTTATCCCTGTGGTGGCCGAATTTTATCCACAACATAAGAGAGAAAATTGTTCCAAAATTAAATGGGAATATTATTTAATTTTAAATTGGATTTAAAAATAAAATATAATCTCTTATTTTCTAAAACTTTATCTTAAGAGATAAGATAAGTTTCTCTAGGACTCTGAGACGTACTCTATAAATAAAAGGTTGCAGAAATTGAAGAACACAATTTTTTCTCTCTTTCCCAATTGATACTAACCCCGCCAACAACGTGACAAAACCCGTAACCAAATATGGGATTTCGATTCAAGATCTTCAAGAATTGATGGAAACCTCGACTCATTGCTTAGCAAAGCAAGAACCTTGGTATGGTGAAAGACGCCACAAACGAGGATGGAAATTCGTTTGATAAGTCGAATTGAATGCCACAAGGAAACGTTGATAAGTTCGGAAAGTTTCTTCAAGAACTCAAGAAGAATATCTCACAAATATGAATAAACATCAAAAACTTATTTTATTAATCAAATTTCAGCCTTAAATAGCCAAAAATAACATGAAGAGTTTAAAAATTGTACAAGTCCTAATCTACACTTAATGAGGTAGAGTCTAAAGCAATATAATCACCTAAAGATAAGATAAAACACGCCTAAAGATAATCCTATGGAAGGAATCCGAATTTGACTCTAACTCCCTCCTTAAAAATGCCTTAAAGCTTATCCTAGGGAAGAAATCCGAATTTAAATCCAACTCCTTCCCTCTAAGCGCCTATTATGGAATTTAAATGTTTAAAACTAAAACTTAAATCTAAAAAGATAAGATTAGGATGAAATCAAGTTTTTTTCTGCAATCTTGACTTGATTCCTAGCTGGAAAATACGCCTAATCCTCTTGGTCTTGCCCTTGCACGTGTATCTGGGAATGTCATGCGAATTTGGCCATGTAATGGCTCGATACCTCATCACCGGACCAACTGGGACCTGAATTGGATAGTGGGTATCCTTGCATCCCTGATGTCCTCATCACCTATGTGATAGGCGTGTAATAATCTATTAGACAGTGTGTAACATGCTAGTGACAAGGCGTGTAACTTCTTTACTTCTTTCCATGTCTAGTGTAGGCATGTAACACACAGTTGGTTAGTGTGTAACATACTAGAGGTGGGCATGTAACCTGAGAGAAAAAATAGAGAAGAAAAGTTCCATTCCCAGTTCCATGTCATGCATGAGTTGGTGCTCATGGAAGACTTGAGTGTTTCGAGTGTTAATCATATTTTGTTTCAGGTATGCCCACACACACGTCTTCATAGATTCAATGAATTGACGAGAAAAATTTGGGTATTCCAAACAAGCTTGGAGTGAGGACTGTTCGTGGTCAAAGAACTTAAGTTATCATCCTAATCGGTCGCTAGGTATAATTCCTAATCCGATTCTAATTAGTGTAAATTAATATATTTTATAGAGTGTTTCAAAACTTTTATGAAAATTTTTGTTATACATAACCCGTAGAAACACGATTATGCATTCAAAATCGTTTCTAAAACCAACAAATACAGTGTTAAACGGTCACCAAAATTGGTGGCCGGAGTTTTGGGTAAATATGATATTTACTTGTAAATATAGCGTTAAACGGTCGCCGAAGTCGGTGGTCGACTTTTCAGGTAAATATGGTATTTACTAGTAAATACAGTATTAAATAATAAATACGGTATTTACCAATAAATGCAGTGTTAAAAGGTCACCAGTCGCCGAAAAACGGTCACAAGTTGTTAGAAAATGGTCTCTGGTCGCCGGAGCCAGCCGCCGGTCCCGGTTATGGTAGACTTGACTATAATCTACCTATTTTAAAAATATATATATATGTGCTATAATTTACTATTTTAAAAAAATAGATGTTTAAAGGGAGGAGTGAGGTGGAAAATGAAGTTTAGAGGTATTTTTGAGTTTTTAATAATATTTAAAACTTAAAATATTAAATTATGTTATAATTTACTATTTAAAAAAATGTACTATAATTAACTAATCACTTTAACAATTATACTATTTCCCTCCTTATCCCATAATAGAACAAATCAACCATTGTCACTGTGAAGCCCAACCTTCTCAAGCTTAAGGTAGAAATAAAGAAATACTATTCAAACTCATCTTTATATTTACGTCACTCAATGGTATAAACTTAATATTTATGTCACTTGATTCACTAGAAAATATCTTCAAAAGATTTTTAATATCTTACCAAATTAACCTTGTCGAATAGTCTGATAGATTTACAACAACAACAAAAACAAAGATGGCATAAATGTAAAGTTATTGGATTTTAGTGGCATATATGTAATTTACGTGAGACTCATAACTTTACCCAACAGGCTATGTTAACTTTAAACCCAACCTTATGGTTACGTTAATCTAAACCAACCTAAAATTTAGAGTCCGTTTAGTTCGCTAATTTAAATTTTTAATTCGAGTTGAGATGTGACTTTATGTGAGAGCTTTTTACTGTAGTAAAAAAAAAAAAAAAAATTTAAATGTAACTGTTTTTGAGAATTTTTTACTATAGCAAAACTCGAATTCTAAACTCAAATCGGTGAAATGAACGTACCTTTGGACAAAACAACCCTGCCAAATAAATTAAACAAAAAAGGTTTTGCTCTCTGAAAGCAATCTGGAAGGTTAAATAAGCAACCGAAGAAAGTGAGGACTACATTTATTTTTTAATTGTAATTTGACTAAAATATTCTTCATTGACCAAACATATGATATTGACTCTATTTATTGAGCTTTTAACAATTTTGTGACAAAATGACCAAATGTGGAACTAGGGGTGTAACTCGGCTTGGTAGGCTTGAGTTGAGCTTGAAATTTGGGCTGAGCTGCACATATTTGGGTGAGAAAAATTTAGGCCACAACACCCCCTTAGCCCACAAACCTATAACCCTTCGGGTTACCTCAGATAGGCTCGGTTTTGCGAGTTGGTCGGTTTGGTGAAAACAAAGGAAACAAAGAAAATCAAAGTTCAATGCTCAACAACTCTTATGACCCAAAAAGGGTAACAAACAAAAACCCAAGAACAAAGACAGAAAAAGAATCAAACAATGACACATTGAAAGCAAAGTAAGCGCCTTCTGGGGGTGAACCAGGAAGGTGTAGCAAAAGAAGCACCACCGGAAGAACTCGCCATGGGCGTCTCCGCAAAAGACTTGGCCTCTTCAGAAGGCTTCTTCTTCTTCTCTGTTTCGTCTTGAATTACTATACAATAACAGAGATTCTAATAATTAATAATTAATAATAAAAAAGGAGAATATTTGTTGATTTTGTGGATGTGACCAAAATCTATCAACCAAACGCATTTATTTCACGATGTTCACAAGAAGAAGATACGGCGAGGGACAGGCAACAGACAGCGATTGTGAGAAGAAGAGGAACAGAGAGTCAAAGACTAAGAGAGACTGAGAACTGAGAACTGAGAAGCGAGAAATGAGGCGGCGGCGAGGGAGCCAGGGAGGCGAGACTGAGAAGTGAGAAGAAAAACTGAGAATGGAGAAGTGAGAACTGAGGCGGCGGCCAGGGGAGGTGAAGGAGTGAGAAGTGAGAGAGAACTGAGAAGTGAAAGATTGAAATTGAAAGTGAATGGGGATTTAGGGTTTTTTTTAACACCCCTCCATCTTCACACGGCCAGGTCAGTGTATATCGGATCACATGATGCCCGCCCCGTCCCCCAACCCGAACAGTGCGGGTTGGGGCTATTTTAATCCGAAAAAAAAAAATAAAAACCATGCTTTCGGGTAGGGTAGGACAGGTTAGTTAGGTTTCAGAACGAAATCTTACAGCCCTATGTGGAATTTGTTGATGGATGGAGAAGCGAACTGTAACATTTTAAAATTTGAGCCAAAATGGAAGGAGCACATTCAGGGACAAAAAAAAAAAAAAAAAAAAAAAAAAAAAAAAAAAAAAAATGAGAATAGTAGAATCTTAATAGTGTTGTCTTTCATACTTGTAAGTTTGGCCTCAGCTAAGGAGATCCACCCAAGCATAAACTACAATTAAACAAGGTGTTCAATCAAGTGGAAGGGAGGGAGAAAGGGATTTATGAAATGCTGATGCATTCAAGAGTCAAATCTACCATCTGTCACCGGTTCTTTTACAATGCGCATGTATCTCAGCAATGTATACCAGATGCACCTGCGGATCAAGCAACACGTATATACAATCTCATTGCATTAGTCCACAAAAGCTCATAGCTGAGCTAGTGCAAATGCGCGAAAAGGTTGCATGTTAAAAGTAAAATTTACAGGCCAGGACGAACTAAATTCACTTGCCGATCTCTGGGAATTCTCGAATCCAAATTCAATGAGCTCCATAGAAGCGCAGAAACTTCAGTGGTTCCACCGTTTCCTATGATCCAAGAGAATTATAATTAGTAACGTGATTAATGCCCTATCGTTTAAAGGAAATCTCTTCCCGAAATTTAGCAAAACCTGAATTGTTTCTTCGGCTGGGGAAGGGAAATGAAACCCTGTTGAGCAATTCCCCAACACTTCAGGACTCTTCATCCATGCTCTACGTGCATCACTCACCTTTATCTTATACTTGAACATCTGAAAACAAAACGAAATTACTATGGATAGAATAGAAATAGAGATTTTCTAAGAGCTCTTCACCACCTAGATATTCAGCTCCACTTCTTCTTTTCAGGCAGGGTTTAATCCAAGATTTATAGAGCTCTATCTAAAGAAATTTATTTCCTTATCAGTTTTTTTGGATCATCAAAGCTTAATGATTATGTTTACTTGATTAGAAAAAAAAAAGTAAATATAAACAAAAATACGTTGATTGTGTTTGAAAGTACCCTATTCTCGTTGCTTTTCCCTGAAGGAAAAAGAAACTTTGTTCATGATATTTTCTTTGGACATTCAAGGCAAATAGAAAAAAGAAAGGGGTGTATCAAAGATAAAATGAAGACCTAAACAGGTAAAAAAATATAATAAAATTGTGAAGCAGAGTGCAAACCTTTGAGAGCGGTACAGTTGGTTTCTCGTCCTCTCCATCAATCATTGTACCAGTCCCCTGGCACTCTGGACAGATAACACGGTTAATTGGGGTCCTGAAAGCTTTCACCTCGCTATCATTTAGCACTTCATTGCACTTCGAAGCAGCTTTTCTACGAGATCTTCGTTTAACTTTTGGAGCCTCTGACTGATTTGTGCATTTTTCAACTTCACATAGAAGTACCCAGTGTATGAGACAGGAAGTATGAAATAAATGAAAAGCCTGCATGCAAAATAAATTAAATAAGCAAATGACTGAGTTTGGAAACAAAAATGGAGTGTAATGGTAACAGCGAAAGTATAGGAGCAAAATTAGAAAGAGATTAAAAAGAACAGGAAAGAGACGCAAGTTATTTAGTCTCTTACCCCATTCGTGTTTCGACTGCTGCAAGCCAGCCTTCCAGTCTTCACGTTCATTAGTGTTGCCACATCTTTTCCAGGAAGCATCTTATGTTGGCAGATGTCACACATTCTTTCAGCAGCTATACGCTGTTGCCGTCTCAACTCCCGTCTTATAGCCTTGTTTGATATGAATCTAGTCTGGAGAAGCTGATCATCATATTGGTCTAACATCAAGCTTGTTACAGCAGAAGCTGAAGAATCTTCCCCACATGAATCATACTGATTACTCAAATTCTCACTAGAATCCTCAGGGTCAGAAAATGACTTCCTTCTTTTCCTACTAGAGACATCCCCGTTCTGCATTTCAGCTGCAGGACTAGAACAGAGCAATGCTTTCACATCATCATGAAGACCCATTCTTCCTAAACTGAAATTATTATAGCTAAAGGTGACAATAGCGAAATCATGCTCAGGAACCTTCAAGAAATCCTCATCCTCAATAGTTTTTTTCCCCAGCCACTCGCACCATATTCTGCTAATATCATTAGAGACACCATCCTTCTCACGAAATCTTACAGAAATAAGTCCATAACCCACTTCCCTCACTTCTACATTAGCAATTTCATCCCCAGCTCGAACACCAGGGATCAACACAGCACAATTTTCTCCAGAACCAGCCAGATTGCCTGCAGAATCTGGATTCTCATTTTGATGCCCAAGCTCATCAACCATAATATGCCCGTTGGCACAGCTTTCCAAATTTTCACCATATGTGACTATAGCGAGATTGTTCTCACTGTCTTGAGACTCCAACAACCTACTTTGATTGCCATTTGAAATCACCGTATCATCATCATTCTCAGTTGGATTATTGAAGAAAACAACACCATCATTAAACGGCCACGGGTTTGGTCCCAATAGAGTAACCTTGGCAGTTGACAACCTCTGATTGTGAAGATTTCCCTTCAAGTGATCAAACAAGACACAATCGCTGTAACATGGTGCTAAACACAAGGTACAGAAGAAAATGGACTTTTTCCCATCTTCACGAAGTTCAACATAGGTGTGCCCTTGTGACCTCACATTGCGGAGAATAGTTCTTTTTGCCTGGTCCTTGAGACTACATGAAGTGGTTTTCGAAACAGCTAATTCATTAGATTTCGGAAACCCTAAAATCCCCCTTCCAGCCATGCAAGTTTTCCCGCCAAAAGAATTCAAATTCAACTTCGAAATCCCTCTGTTGATCCTATAAGACTATCCAATCTTCAAATTTATATTCAAACAAATCCCTTGACGTTGGAAACAAGAAAGCTATCGAAGAGTTATATGAACCCGTACTCTCACGTCGATAACCAGATAGTTTGGACGAGGAATTAAGGCAACTATCGAACGAGTTTCACAAGAGCTTAGTGAAATTCTTGAAATAAAATTCAAAATCCGCTCAAATTTCTCGAAGAACAAGAGACCAAAGCCACAAACACTTCACCAACCATGTGAAACCATAGGATGCCACTCAAATTTTACAAACAACTTTCCATAAACTCTAAAAGTCAAATTCCAGAAACTATTCATCAAGGAAAGTAAAGATGCCAAGAATTTACCCACGTCCTAACAAAATTCCGCCAAAATTCACCACAACCCTAGAGTCGGCTTCATGTAAATTTTCCGTGGAATTTCAGTTCCAAGCAGTACAAATCAAGGAACAAAAAAAAACAAGTGCGAAAAACCAAGAAATGAGCTCAGAAAGAGCTGAATTTACATATTCGCGGCGTATTCTGTATTGGATTCTTCGAAAACCGCGGTGTCCGTCCGTCCAAGAGAAGCGCGGCGCGAGCAAGAAAGAGAAGCGCATGGGAATATGAATCCTCCATAGCCATCTCCATTTGCACGCAGATAACAAGGGAATTTCAATTTCAATATCTGTTTGGAGGGAGAGAAAACGAGTGGGAAAATCAGAGAGAAAAAGGAGAAGGAAAACGGAAACCAAACCCTTTTTCTTTTCTTTAACAGACTATTATCGCTTCGTAAAGAGGGATTTTTTATTTTGGCGATTATTTTAAGAAAGAATATGATACGCAAGATTCGCGTGGCTGAGACGAAGCGGTGATACTGTGTTGTAAGACGTACGCTTTTTAAAGTATGATTAATGGATGTAGACCGTTCGATGTGAGGAGCAGAGTCTTGGTGTATTAGGAACGGTGGAGGAGTGAATTGGGACAGGAGTGGTGGGCCATGGGAAGGCGGGTAGATTCGAATTTTGCAGAGAAAGGATGCCTTCTTTGGGTGGGAAATTGGGATAAGATTGTCAGGAGAGAGAGAGAGAAAGTATCGGGATCGTGACATGTCAACGCATCTGAGCTGTGAAATATATTTTGCTCAATGCTCGTGTTTGGTTAGTTAGTTTAAATTTTATTAATTTAAATTTTTTTATTTGAATAAAAAAATTTAAATTGTATAGTTTAAATTATAGTTGGAATTGGTATTTAGATGTGTAATTAAAATTTTAATATGAATAGAAAATAAAATTTAAATTAGTGTTTAGTAAATGTAAAAAGTAGAGAGAGTTTATACTTTTTTACTGTTTAAAAATAATTTGAATGGTTAAACTTAATAGAATAGTTAAACTCTAAGTTAGACAGTTTAACTCAGTTCAAATGAAAAATATAATTCAGACTGCGTGCTTACCAAACACAAGTTTAAAACTGTATTCATTGTTCGAACTGAACTGAGTTAAACCAATAAAACAAACGAGACTTTATTTTTTCCTTAAAAAAAGGGAAAAAATACTCAAAACACCCTGATATATTGTGAAAATACTACTTTTACCTCTCCTATTATGTAAATATCTAAGGGCCAGTTTGTCTGCCCTAACTTACTCAAGAAAGGCCCACTTGAGTAAGGAAACTAGCCCAAGTTCACGTTCAGTGTTTGAGAACTTGAATTTGAACTCGGGAATGAATTCGAGTTACAACCCATTTCTGAGTTGCACTCTCCCCTGCGATTCGAGTTATTTCTCTACACTTCTACAGTGTAGATTCTGAGATCTGCTTGTCGTTTCATGTGGTTCTCCTGTAACCGATATTCTCCAGAATTCTTCCGGGCATATCGTTCGACCAACAGCCACGATCTGCTCCTTCAACGTTATTCCATCGATTTCTGAGAGCTGTGCGTTGTTGAATCACTTTTCCCCCAATCTCAGATTTCAACCCTAGCCCACCATTTCGGTTCGCATCTGCATCTTTTGTGTCCCCCTTCCCCCACCATTGTCATCGTTCTTGTTTCCCCTTCAAAACGGGGAAATTTGTGGGGACTCCGTTGGTTCGGCGACCTCGGTGGGTGAACATCATACTTCGATGTAGAGGCAACAGTGTGCGCCGTCGATCTCTCCAGCCGAGACGTCAAACCTACTTCCCCTACCTCTGTCGTCGCCGGTACCTCAGACTTGTTAACCCTTCCTCGCGTTTGGGGAATCTCGAAGGGAATCCAATCTCCTCCTCCATAGGCTCCAATTCGGTAAGTATTTCAACTACTTGTTCAGTTTATGGGAAAAACTCATTTCAGTTTTAGATGATTTCTTTGGTCTCTATGTTGGAATTCCGAGCAAACCCTTTTGGTGAATTCATTATGTTCTCTGAAAACAAACATTGCATGTTTCATTGTGTTATGTGTTTTGTTCTTGCTATTTGTGGTTAGATTTAGTTTTCTGGAATTGTCTTTTCTTGTTCTTTAGGTGTTGGATTAAAGTCTTCTTAGATAATTTGGCTTGAGTTTTAACAAAAATAAATACTTTCATGATGTTTTCTAGTCGGAAAATTGATTTTGTAAGTTGTAATCAAACTCACTTGTGATTTTTTTGGTGATTTCGATCTCTATACTTCATCGGAGCACTAATATTTACCCCTGTTTGTTCAGTTTCTGGAAAAAAAAAAAAAAAAACAGAAACTCTATCCGGTGAATTCCCATGGTTTCTGGTGATTTTTCTGGTGATTTCTCAGCCTCTAGACACTCGGCTCATTAGATTTTGGAACCCCATTTTGTTTAATTTGTGAAAAAAAAAAACAGAACTCTCTATAAACATACTTCAACGGCTCACTAGTATAGAAACGATTTCTATAATTGCATTCTTAGAACTAGTATTTGGGTAAAAGTTATTAGTAGTTTGTCGGGAAACAATGTATATGGTTCCTGGTGATTTTTTTGGTGATTTCAGCCTGTAGACACTCGGCTCACTAGTATTTGGGAACCATTTTTGAGCAGTTTCTGGAAAAAAAAACCAGACACTGTTTCAGGTGACTCCTGCCCCCATTTGCATGGTCGTATGAGTTTGTACCAAACATGGATGAACCAAACTAATCTTCTAGAAAATTTTGAGCTTAATTTTAGGTGTAAGGCCTGTGTTACGCCATAAATCAAATGAACGGGAGGAATAACAATTTTAAAGAGTTGAATTTCCAACGTACAATTCTCGTGAAAAACTCTAGCATAATTTTTATATCATAAATAAATAATTAATTTTTTAAAGATATCAATCATGTCTTCACGTTCCTAGCCTAACGGCCATTTGGGATCTATTAAGAACATAAGTAGAATAGAAAGGACCTAACTCATACATTGATGAATTAATATTTAGGGAGTTCAAATCATATTAGTTTTAGACCCTCTACTTTAGTTGTTTAAGTGAAACTTTTGCCATGTGGTCTTTGAACGTGGCTTTGCTACACAGGTGTCTAGCGCATGTGCATTTTGCTTTGCTTTTACAATCATCAATGAAAAATAAAGTTATATAACTTAGTGACAAGAAAAAAAAAAGGCAGCGAATACCTTTTCATTATTGTATTTAGAGGATCTTAAGGATAAATGCAATACACACACACAATATATTAGAGAGGGCATTGGTCTCTATTCATGAATAATCCAGCATTACTTAGCATAATTGTTTAGCTATACAAACCATTGATGAACATAAAACATTGATAATCCAAATAGAATCAAACTTTAATGAAAAACCACGAAAAGCAAAAAAGACTCCAAACGATTTCTGGGCATGTTCTGTTGTAGGTTGTACTTTGTATTGATATGATTATTGATTATCAATCGCTGTGCATTTACTCATTGATACCTGCTGTGTTTTTATAATGCTCATGTGTTTATTTGGAATCCCCTGTTGTGCAGTTTCTGGAAAAAACCCGAAACTGTTTCTGGTTTTTTCACTTTCTAGATTGCATTTGACCATGGCTATGATGATGTAATTGTATTTAATGGCCTAGTTTATTATGTCGAGTGATATTCGATGGTTGGCTAATATTTGGTTGCCGGTTAATCCCATTAGTCTTAGTTGGTATGGTTGATTTAATTCACTTTGAATGCCTTGCTTGAGCATTCTGCCTACATTGGCTAATACCTTGGTAGCATATTCGTTGCCGGTTTATGCATAACCCCATGGTATAATGTTCGTTTGCTTCGGTTTTAAAGTGTATTGCCAACCTACCACTAAGATTAATTGAACATTAACCTTGGTAGCCTAATTGCCCTAGCCTAGGATAATGCTTCATAATAGGACGATGAGGGCTATTACACAAATCTGAGCCTCCTTCCAACATCTAAGCTCATTAAATGAATTTTGTATGCTATGTACATACGTATTGCTGCCATATCGGTGGGTTCAATACATAGATGGCTGGGAGAAGGAGAGATAGAGATGTAAATTGGAGCCCAGAAGCTGAAGAGCAACTGCTTAGACGTCTAGGTGAGTTCAATTTACTGAACTCCGCCGGTACCACTCCGAACCGAGAGAAATTCACGCAATGGGCAACGGAGCTAAGTAACCATTTCAGCGTCCCACTTGGTTGGGATAAAGTTAAACAAAAAACTGCTAGGTTGAAAAAAACGTTCGAAGCAGAGTTCCTACTTCGGACTGCTACTGGACTTGGTTGGGATCCAATTGAGAAGAAACCAATGTGCACCGATCAATATTGGCAACAATTTGTTACTGTAAGTTCATCGTTTCTTTTCTTTAATTGTTTTACGCCTTGCTGTCTTAATTTGTCATTGAAGAAAGGGGATTTTCCATATTGTTTGCATTGTCATTATTACTGTATATGCAGAGCCATCCGGAGGTCGAAAGGGCTAGAAGGAAGCCGTTACCGGATTATGATTTGTACTTCTGTGCATTTGTGAATTCACGTGCAACCGGTGTAAATGAGTACGGCCAAGATGAAACCCGTATAACTCCCCCACATCCCCCAGAGGCAATCCCAGGCAGCCCAATTGACATTGATGGCGGGTCCCAACGCTACAATGATACGGGCGATACCTCATATACAGAAATGAGGCATGGTGTAAGTGCTGGTGGCCGAACCCCACATGTTGCGTCACAGTCCCGTTTAAGTAATAAACGGTCAGCAAGAAACAGTCAGACACGCGTGCCAAACTTCATGGAGCGTGCAGTGGATCGCCTTGTATCATCTATTGAAGACCACGGTCGTAAGCGTGGTAAAAGTTCCGCCACCCCTCAGTCGGTTGAGAAAGAGACATCCCAGGACAAGTGCATTAATTTACTTGGAGAGTTGGACATACCTCAGGATCAATATCTTTTCATGTTCAACTATTTGAATGCTCATGCTACACTGCATCGGCCGTTTTTTACGAATGAAGGAGCATCACCGCTTGGCTTGGATCCAACAGACCATGGAGCAACATGCAAATCAGCAAGTGCCGCCTCCACCGCCAACCTTTACGCCTGGAGCACAGTATCCCTTTCAGTCTAGCCATCCAATGAACCAGTATTTCTCACACACCTTCCATCCGAACACCAACACCTTCCAACCGAGCACTAGTAATTTTCAACCATACATGCCACCAAACTTTCCACCATATTCCGGCCGAGATGGAAGAGATAGCGGTTGACGTCCATTATTGCTATTTTTTTTTATTTCATTCCTTGCACTCTATGATTCTGAGACATTATTGATACTTGAGTTAGTTTTAGATGCATATTAACATTTGGTCCAATTTTGGGT